GTGAGCTGCAGGCTTTACACTTTCATGTGTCAAGTGTATCATCATGTATTTCAATGCAAATCAATGTATTTAGTTCCACATTTAGAAAAGATTTTCTTTATTATAGTAGCTGTTTTTTAATCGGTGTAAAGAATAACTGATTGTTTACAAAAGCATTTTGATATTGGTAAAGGCGTCTGCAACTTTTGTGAAGCATCAAATCACCGGCATATTAACTATCAAAACATGTTTATGACTGCATAAATTTTACATGCATTTCTATCATACACAATTTGTACTAAAGCGATCTAAAAAGTTCATATCAATAAGTTTTCTCTTTGCACCACCAGGTGGCAGTCTTTGTACTTTCATTTCGATGGTGCAGATTGCATACGTTTTATTAATATGTATAACTTTATTTATTTTATTAATGACTATAACTTTATATATATAGTTAAAAAATATGTACCATTTCCCTGAGTGGATATAACTACTACTGTAAGAAAATATCAGAATTCAGAACATACTTTCTGTATTATCTTTGCTTGAACTGAGCCGATCTAATCCTGTTTATATGACTTGAACCTGCTCCCGATCAGGTTTGACCTAGCAGAACTGTTGCCATGACAACAACTCTCGGATCAGCTTTGAAGAACGAAACGATCCTGGATCGTGTCAAATCGTCAACATCCAAATCCAGCTAACTGAGTAATCCACGTACGAAGAACGGACCCCTAGTCTGGTCAGGTTATGTTTACCACAGACACCGTTTACCAATATGTTCTCATTCATTTAAATTCACTATTACTAAATTAACTAACTAACTAATTACTCTACCGGGTTTCTTTTGTGCACCAATCTCATGCCCCCTATGTACAGCAAGCATATGACAAAAAATTAAACACAGACATTAAAAAGTATCTGAGGACTCCTTACCGGAATCCATGGAACAAAACCTCATCAACACACCTTAAGGCACTTATAGCTCTTCAGCTCACTGAGGTTCTCGTCCAGAAACAGCAGATACAGAGCAAGATCATCCCAGGTCGCCTGCCCAAACTGCATCACACCTATTGTGGGCAACATCTCGAAAGGCTTCAGGAAGCCCTTGGTCCTTCTGAATGGAACCAACATGGCAAACATGCACAATGGCAACAGCAGCAAATACACTGAAAGATTGATGTAGCTCAGGAGCTGAAAGATGCCCACAGCAACTAGCTTGCACTGCAGGGCTGGAGGCACGGAGGAGTCATTGACAACCACACCAGAGCGGATGTCACACGAAAACTCATCGGTGGTGGAGAGGCTGATGTAATAGCAAAGGTAGATGCAGGCTAGAGTGAGGGCCAAGACAGTGATGGTGCGGCAAAGAAGGTAGCGGATCAGTAATCCTTTAGAGTAGCGCTTGGTCCTCAAGTACTGCTCCACCAGAGGATATTTAAAATAGCTCTCAGTGAGGTCTATCACAGAGCTGAAAGGGGAAAAACATGCAAATATAACAGCATATCAGTGATAGAAGTATGCAACAGGAATGGGCTACATGCACAGTGTTTCAGCCACTGATAAAACTTCCGGTGAAAGTCAAAGTCAGCTTTATTGTCAATTCAGCCACATGTACAAGACATACAGAGAATCGAAATTGCGTTACTCTCAGACCCAAGGTGCTTAACATTAGTATAAAATATACATATAAAAAATAGTAGAGTTTAAGAAAAAAAAAAAATTTACAGTATATGTAAATTTACTGTAAATATGAGGGTCAAAAAAAAAAGGTCAATGTGAGGTTCATTGTAGAGCATCGATAATTGAATCGAAATTTAATCAGTTAAATAGACTTCAGCTTTAATTTGCTTGTTCAAGCGTAAAACAAAATGAAAGGCTGTTAAAACGCAAGTGCTGTCATCAGAAGGCGAGCGCTGAAACTCCATTCAAAATAATAATAATACTTCCCTACATTTATATAGCGCTTTTCTAGATACTCTAAGTGCTTTACGCATTGGGGGGAACCCACCACCAGTGTGCAGCATCCACCTGGATGATGCGATGGCAGCCATATTGCGCCAGACTGCACACCAGCTGAATGTGTGACAGAGAGATGAAGCAAATTATGATATGGGGATGGTTAGGAGGGCAAATTTGGCCAGGATGCCAGGGTTAAACCCCTACTTTTTTTAAAAAGTGCCGTGGGATTTTTAATAACTAGAGAGTCAAGACCTCGGTTTCAGGCCCCATTTGCACTAGTGTTTTAGTTTTAAAACGGCGTTTTAGAATGAAAACGATCCGCGTCCACACTCGCGTTTCTGAACTGCTCTCCGTTCACACCAAAACGCTGAAAACGCACGACATGACCACACACACACACACACTCTCGGGCAAGCGCTGCAGCATTTACCCAGATGAGAGCTGTGCTGGTCGGACTGCTCATCAAGCATCTCCCGCTGGATCTAATCTCACTATATTTGCTAAAGGTGATATTTAATTAATCTTGTTGTCTCTATCTAACGACATATTCCCAGACTTTGGTCTTGTGAATTGATTACTTGTTCACAGGTAACGTGTTTTGACTGAGCGCAAAGATAAGTTAATAATTAATGTAACCACGTGCATGCTGTATATTGACTTATTGACTGATCGCTTGCCTTTATTTCCTGTAATGTATAAACTTATTGTGCGTTATACTTTCATAATGGCTATTATTGTTTATTAAAACTGACATTCAGCAAAGCAGAGGATACGTTTTGTATTTTCAATGAAAATGAAAGGAGGCAGTGATGTTATATAGGCTCTGTTTTATTATAAATATGCACACAGTGAAGATGCAGCACAACGCCTCAACATTTCTGCTGTCCGTTCAGTTGCTAATATCAAAATGAAAATAGGCAGTTCCTTAAATCATGTTTACATTTTATTGTTAAGAAAGTGAAACAACGTCGCCCGGATGATGTGAATAAGGTTATAAAGTGCACTGTTCCCTTTAAAGATTTATCGGACGTGTCCTCGAGGGTCTGTTCTCCATATCAAACTAGCGAAGTCTGAACTTACAGGGAGAGGATGCAGGACTGAACTGTGTGTGTCGGCTACTTAATATTGAGGAAAAGCCCCAATCAGAGAGGCGAATGTCTGCAGATCCGCCTCCGTTTTCAGATGTTTCCGTTTTCCCCCATCCACACTGAGACGGAGCAGCAGCGTTGTAGAATGAAAACGGCCTCTTCAGCGTTTTTGAAACGCTCCGTTTTCGGCGCTCGAAAACTCCGGGGTAGTGTGGACAGATGGCGTAACCGTAGCAAAACTTGTGCGTTTTAAAATGAAAACGCATTAGTGTAAACGGGGCCTAAAACTTATTCAAAAGATGGCGCTCACTGAGCAGTATAGAGTCGCCTTCACTATACTGGGGCATTAGGACCCACACAGACCCAAGGTTGAGCACCCCCTGCTGGCCACACTAACACCACGTCCGTCAGCAACCTAGCTTTCCCATGTGGTCTCCCATGCAGGTGCAGCCCTGCTTAGCTTCAGTGGGCGACCATGTGAGAGTTGCAGTGAGCGAGCTGCCGACACATATTTCTAATGCAAAATACTGTGGTAAAATAAATAGCCATAATTTAAAGACATGGCGCTGAACAACGGAATTTAATTCAGTGCTTCTTGTCTACTCTGAGACCCACTTTAGGTCGTATCTCAATAAGGCAGTCTGGATCATTGATTTTAGACAAAGATCAGATCTTAAACGCTGCAATTTTATAATGGCACGACAGTTTAATGGAAGCATCTGAGGTGGCTTATTCAGAATTAAATGTCCCTGTGCATATAGCCCATTGGTATTATTGGTGAGAGATGATGGTTAATGAAATGTGTGCAAAAGAAAAGTCTTTATAAAAACATGCAGGTGGGTGGTTAGTTTTGATGCAGGTTTATAAGTAACTCAGCCATGTGATAACTTTCTGTGTGTTGTGTAAACCTGGACACAACTTACAAATATATCAGGGAAGATTTTCAGGCATTATCTTTGTGTGTGTGTGTGTGTGTGTACTTGTTCGGGTGATTTACCAGAACAAAATTGTATAATGACATTGTTAAGACCTAGCCATACTCAAAATGACCTGGTATGAACTTGTAACTCAAAACATGTATAAATCACACTTAACAGGGTTTATTTACCTTCAAAATTTGCTGTGATAGTAAAACGAATATTGGGTTTATAAGGGTTTAGGTCATATAACGAGCAGTTTCCATTGTATAAAATACATTTTCCTACACTCACCAGCCACTTTATTAGGTACACCTTACTGGCAGAGATTCAACAAGCTACTGGAAATATACCTCAGAGGTTTTGCTCCATATTGACATGATAGCATCACACAGTTGCTGCAGATTTGTCGGCTGCACATTCATGATACCATTCTCCCGTTCCACCACATCCCAAAGGTGCTCTATTGGATTGAGATCTGCTGACTGTGGAGGCCATTTGAGTACAGTGAACTCATTGTCATGTTCAAGAAACCAGTCTGAGATGATTCACGCTTTATGACATGGTGCGTTATCCTGCTGGAAGTAGCCATCAGAAGACGGGGACACTGTGCTCATAAAGGGATGGACATGGTCAGCAACAATACTCAGGTAGGCTGTGGCGTTGACAGGATGCTCAATTGGTACTAATGGGCCCAAAGTGTGCAAGAAAATCTCCCCCACACCATTACACCACCACCACCAGCCTAAACCTAAAGGCCTAAAGGCAGGATGATCCATGCTTTCATGTTGTTGATGCCAAATTCTGAGCCGACCATCTGAATGTGTCAGCAGAAATGGAGACTCATCAGAGCAGGCAACGTTTCTCCAATCTTCTATTGTCCAGTTTTGGTGAGTCTGTGTGAATTGTAGCCTTAGTTTCCTGTTCTTAGCTGACAGGAGCGGCACCCGGTGTGCTCTTCTGCTGCTGTAGCCCATCCGCCTCAAGGTTGGACGTGTTGTGTGTTCAGAGATGCTCTTCTGCAGAGCTCGGTTGTAGCGAGTGCTTATTTGAGTTACTGTTGCCTTTCTATCAGCTGGAACCAGTCTGGCCATTCTCCTCTGACCTCTGGCATCAACAAGGCATTTGCGCCCACAGAACTGCCGCTCACTGGATATTTTCTCTTTTTCAGACCATTCTCTGTAAACCCTAGAGATGGTTGTGCGTGAAAATCCCAGTAGATCAGCAGTTTCTGAAATACTCAGACCAGCCCGTCTGGCACTAAGAACCATGCTACGTTCAAAGTGACCATGTCTATATGGCTAAATGCATTAAGTTGCTGCCATGTGATTGGCTGATTAGAAATTTGGGTTAACGAGCATTTGGACAGGTGTACCTAATAAAGTGGCCAGTGAGTGTATGCATATTGCAAAAAAAAAAAATCCAATATCTAAAATATGATGTATCAAGATGCCTTTTTTTGACAATTAAAAAATTGTCATGTTTTTAGAAGTCTAAATTAAGCAAGTTTTGTCTAAAAACAAGCAAATTAATCTGCCAATGCAAATTTGTCTATTTTGCTTACTTGGTTGGCAGATTACTTTGCTTGTTTCAAGGAAAAACTCACCTAATTTTGTGTGTCTAATTCACCTGTTTGTATCCACTGGAGCTGGCGGTGTTTCTACTTTTCCTGCAGTGTGAAGGCATTTAGCCAATTTGATGGCTCTGTTGTAGGAACGGTCCAGTTCTTCCATTATAAATGTGAGGTCAGAAGAAAGCACCGGGGCTCCTGTAAACCGCCAAAACAACGCTGGCATGTAAACTGACACTGCCACCAGCAGCAGGATATAAGGGAAAAACTGCAAAGAAGAGGAGAGAAGCGTTCATTCAAGATGATTATTGATGATTTTGACTGGTACACTCTTTTCCACTGCAGTTTAGTACCACTTGTGTTCAATCACAAAACATTTGTTTTCCCTCGCAATGATAACTAAACTCCCTTGTAAAGCATAAATTAGCATTCCTTCAATGTTCAGTTCGGACAAACACTTCTTCAGTTTACATCTTGAGAGCTCTGTAAGTTCACTATCAATCACTGGGGAGCTTCCGGGTAATTATTCCATTCTTAAGAGTGCATATGCCCATTTAATTTGAGTTAATTTCCTTTGCTAAATGCAACTACTTCTGATAGTCCATTATGCACATCAACCATAAGTTACATTTACTATCACTTGCATTCATACTCTGAATTCATGCTTGACTGTAAATACATATGTTGTATGCGCTTGCCTTATGCAGCCATAAAGGAAGGCCTCCAGTGTCCTGTTTCTGCACTGCTGCCCAACAGTATGAATCCACGTAAGCTGCCTGACGCCATGAGAACGCTGTAGGGGCGAAACAACTGATCTGTGTACCTAGAGAAAAAAAAAGAATGATATTTTTAATGAAGACTACATGTGTGCATGTTTGGAGAGTAAGGGTGTATGTATGGTTTCTTACACATTGTATATACAGATATGCACACTGCAAACTATATATATCTTTTCATATCATTATTAGAATTTCTAAAAAGTGAGGGGGATAAATCTGTAGATTGTTTCAAAGCAGCTTAACACTGATGAAGAAAATAACTGAGTGTAACGGAGGCCAGCTAGTAAGTGCTGTGCAGGTAAACCTCACTCCTTTGACCTCTAAGGTGCTCTAGCGACAGACCGGCAGGGTTACACAAGTGTCATCGGGATTGTTGTTTATAAGTGGTGTCTCTTGCCTCGAACTCCTTGTTTTCTTAGCTCACTTCCTTTGGGCATATGTAAAGCACATATGCAAAAAAAACAAAGCTGAAAACAAACTCACTAGTGGTGAGAAAGCAATACGATTAAAAAGTCCAACATGCCAGCCTTTTTTACACTAACAACTACCCAAACTCGGTCCTGGAGGGCTGCTGTCCTGCAGAGTTTGTGAACAACATGTGGAAACACGCCTGTCTGGAAGCTTCTGGAATGACAAGCATGAGCTTGATTAGCTGAAATAGGTGTGTCTGACTGGGGTTGGAGCTGAACTCTGAGGGCACTGGCCCTTTAGGACAGAGTTTGGGTACCCTTGCTGTACGAGTTGCGAGTTAGAGTGTATATAATTCCTCTCAGCATGAGTTGAAGATTATTCTGGAGCAACTAGTGAAACCCCCTTATTAAAATGTTGTCAGTAGAGCACATTTTAGAACAATGGTCTAAAACCTAAATGTAAAACTGAAGCATTGATTTTTGCTCATTAAAGGGTCATGAAACTCCTCTGTCTCACACCTCTAGTTTGAAAAAATAAAGTCAGGAAAGTGGGTGAGTCCAGCTTTGTTTAGGTGGGAATGTCAAATAGTGAAAGAGGGAAGGGTTTGCATGAAAAGGGAGTTTCATTACGTGACCTACGGCTAATTTTCACAGAGACACCACAAACACAGACGCAGAGAAGACAGACAGTGAGTACGTTTTCATGGTCATCAGTCATCAAATTAAACCGAGTTAGACAATAATATGATTCAGTAGTTTTTTTTGAATGCTCCTTTCATGATCCTGTTGTACAAGTTATAGTACATTAATTACACAATTAACGTCACGCTAATTACATTTCCTCCAGTTTCATGTCATTTTGGGTGTTTCACTCTTAATTTGTGGACTTTAACTGCAGTTTGACACTTTCACTTTCATTCAGGAACATTTCAAGCATGCCCCCATGACAAACGAGATATTGGATGCGAGGTACTGCTGGAAGGGTGTTGTTTTAATGGAATTTGATACCACACACCGGTAAATATTTACAAATATTTCTCGGTAGATGCAGAGACTTGCCTCAACCAGCCATGTGTGAATAAACTATCCTGTCACAAAGCTCTCAAATGATTTCAAACCTTTATGAATTTCTTTCTTCTGTTGAACATAAAAGATAATATGCAGAACACTGAAAACCTGTAACCATCGACTATATTAGGTTAATAATGGGTTAAGATTATATTAGAAAAAACAAATACTTTAATAGTCAATGGTTACGGGGTGGTACATCTTTCTTAAAAAAGGTATGGAACAAGTGGAAGGTGAGTAAAAAGATGACAGAATTTTCATTTCTGGGTCCCTTTAATTGGAAATCATATGTGGCGAAAATCCTACACGACAGTAATAGTTTGATTAAGGTCTTTACATGTTTAGATTCAGAGCAGCATTTCATCTTTCAGCCCATAATATTGTAGTGATATTAACGTGCTGTGAACTTAGTAACTAAATCATTTTGACTAAGAGTACTGCTGATGATACTAACTAATTTGGCCATCTGAATAAACAGAAACAAAGAACATTTATCGCACCCTCACCAAATCCGGACAATCAACACGAACTGGAAGCATGTTTTTTTTTTTTTTTTTAAAGGAGAGGAGTGGCAAATCAGGATTTCACCATTTACAAATGCTCTCCAGCCTGATCTCACGAGGAAACCTAGGTATTTTACGTTTTGCCAGTTTAGTGGCAATAAACAAAACAAAACTGAAATTAAAATATTTGTTAAAACTCTGTGATTTTTAGAAGTTTTGTAAGTTTAAAATGTTTTTTAAAAACAGTGCATGTTTGTAATAAAAACAATAAAATCGCTATGCAATAATTAACGGCTATAATAACCACGGTCAGTAAACGTGCACATATGTGTGTGTGTACTGCATCACAAATACACGAAACTAACTTACTTGGTATTTTTGACTAGTGAGCTGTATTTCATCCGTGTCTGTCTCTCTATCACTGACTGCTGTTTATTTGACGTAACGCATAATGAGAAGCAGACACGTACATGGGAGCGGTGAACGGAGAGAAGCAGCTTATTTACATCTTTTAAAAGGGGTAAAATAGGTGCCCATTAAAATAAACCAACTAATCTGCCAACGGGGTAAGCTAAATAACGTTATTTCAAAGCAAATAGATTAGTTAGCTTAAGGAAAAACATGCTTAATTTTGGCTAACTATTTCTGTAAATGAGACATTTTGTGCTTAATTTAAGATTTTTTAAAGATTTTTGAACTAGAAAGATGATAAAAATATATAAGTAAAGCATTGTTAGCAATGCATTATGAAGATAATAATGACAACATTTAGACTATCTGTGCAGACGCACCCACTGCTGCTCAAGGCCATGCATGCACTGAATATCTAAGCGTTATTTACCTGCAGTAAACTTATAGCGTAGATAATAATCTGAAATATTGCCATGGTAAGAATTGAAATGGAATAAGAGGATGTTTGCATTCTGTAATCTGTACACAGTACAATATAATTAAAGGGATAGCTCACCCAAACATGAACATTTACTCACTATTTACAAGCTCTTAAATGATACCAAACCTTTATGAATTTCTTTCTTCTGTTGAACATAAAAGATAATATGCAGAACACTGAAAACCTGTAACCATTGGCTATATTAGGTTAATAATGGGTTAAGAATATATTAGGAAAAACAAATACTTTAATAGTCAATGGTTACGGGGTGGTACATCTTTCTTAAAAAAGGTATAGAACAAGTGAAAGGAGTAAAAAGATGACAAAATTTTAATTTCTGGGTCCCTTTAATTGGAAACATACTCTTTAAATGGAAATACAAAAAAATCTATTTTTAAAAGATGGATTCTGTGAGGAAACTGAGGTAAAGTTGGTTTTATATTCGCACATTTAGACTTTCTCCTTAATAAAATCGTTTCAGAAAAGTATTCTTGCAAATTCTAAATAGGGAAATCATATTAGCAGCCAACGACTATCAAAGCACAACATTGTTGACAGTCAATCAAACAGTGCTGATGTTGTTTCGAAGTCATGCTTGCATGTGATTTCTGACCAAATATAAATAGCACCATGGTAAACAGTATCATGTCACAGCATTGATGTCACGGCCGACTTTACCTCAGTGGAAACTGATCAGACAAGAAAGAATAAGCAAAGACTAGCGTTAGCGTATAGTGATTTGAGGATGAAATAGGGAAATGTACATACCGACAGAAACTTCCTGAGCGAAGGCTAGAGAAATGAGAAGCAAAGGTAGACCCACGGCGACACAGGTGACTATTTTATCCAGGGCTAAATCTAAGCGAATGCCTTTATACCTGTTTTCTGACGCCGGGTCCTTCAGCACAAAATCCGCGAACACGTACTCCGTGGCCGCGTGCGCTATAGCCATGACTATACTCGTTTATTGCCGACAAACTCTAACTTTATTCAAAACCATGTATCTAAATTAAGATTTAAATAATAAGAAATCGCATTATTTGTCAAAATAATTAATCTATCAGCTAGTTAAAATCCCAAAATTGCGTTAAATGAAGTTAGGCGCTTTTAGAAGCGAATACTCAAGCGAGGACAGCGTTACCGTGTACATTTCGCTTTTGTTCTTGTTTTTCTTCTTCGTTTTAAGTTTTGCTTTTTCTTCCTTTGGCATTTTGCTGGGGCTTGTGAACCAACTCAACTGGGGTGTATCGCCACCTACTGTGGAGGAACATGTCGGGGAAGACAAAACATGTGCCCACTTGAAAGAAAAATACAATAGTTATAGTGAATACTACAGTGTTTTAACCGTATAATACACTTTACTGACTTAACATACACAGTAATGTGTATTATACTATATGTTTACAACACGGTGCTAATGAATGCTACAACAAAAGCAAGTTTTTTTGTTGTTGTTGTGGTTGTTTTTTTTTTTATAACTTTATTGAACAAAGTAAACAATACAACTATAAATGGCCTGCTACAAAATACAAACCTTCTTAATCAGACAACAGACAAGCATGATAAACAAAATATAATAACAAGATAGAAAGTAAAATAAATAAATAAAAAACAAAAAGCAACAACATCTAGGGGTTTTCAGAAAGTTCAAGTTGTTCTATTAAATCACAGAGAACTACAGCATTCTTATTCTTCATTTGCTTAAGCCAGTGGTTCTCAAAGTGGGGGTCGGGACCCCCCGAGCGGTCGCGGGACAATGAAGGGGGGGTCGCCTGGTGATTTCCAAAAATCTATTTATTTTTCATAAACCATAAGAATTACCATATTTTATTCATAACCTACTAAAAGAGAAAAATATAGTTGTTTATTGTTACTATGTACTACTGTATATAGTTACTTTAGTAGCTTTTAGTTACTATTTCTATTAGATTGCACCCCTAGGGGTAATTACTTTACATTAAAGACACAGCAATAGCGTCAGATGCAGCAGATTGATTTTATAACACCAGGTTAAACTTTCTAGCCTATTTACAGCACTGACAGACATTACAAAAAAATCAACGAAGAATTGTTTATTAGTGGTTTATTGGTGTGGGCGCCATTGCATGCAAGATTTCTGGATTTATAACACCTCAGAAGATATTGGGGGTCGCGAGTCACTGACATTGTTATTTTGGGGGTCGTGGGCAAAAAAGTTTGGGAATCCCTGGCTTAAGCGATAGAAAAAAATAAATAGAAAATAATAAATTACATAAATAATTTTTATGTAAAAAAAAAAAAAACTTCCCAAGAAAAATAATGGTGTTAATTGCTAAATCATGTGTTTCATCTTTCAAAAATAAACCTAACAGTACATTTTCTTTTGTTAAAGCATTTAAATCTTCAAACTTAGAGAATAACCAATAATGCAAATCTTCCCAAAAGGCACAAGCAAATTTACAGTCAGAGAAAAGATGCTCTGCAGTTTCAATTTGATCATCACAAAAGGAACAATTGTTTTCATCAAAACCAAATCGACGTCTCAAAAATTCTTTAGAAGGATAGACTCCACTTAGAACTTTAAAATGGACTTCCTTTTCTCTTGGTGCTACTGGAAACTTTAAATATTTAGTTCTAAGCTATTTAATTTTTTCCTTAGAGAAATAATAAAATAAAATCAAAAATTATTTGAATGAAAGGGATATAGTTCTTTAATAAAAATATTCCGGATTACAGTATTGGATAAGTGTATATCGATAACTGAATCTCCATCCACCAAAAGCTGAGGAAGGCAAGGTGTTATATTATTTTGAGATAGATTACCAGACATCTGAAATATAGATTGTGGGATAGCTTTAATAACATTATCATATTGTTTTCTGTCAAATAAATTAAATTTAGAACTAAAAGTTTCAAAAGACATTACTCCGGTATTATCTAACATATGCATGACTGACCATATTCCTTTTTCCCACCAGTTTTCGTAAAATAAAGATTTGTTCCTAAATATAACATATCTGCAATTCCATAAAGGAATATTATGGGGACTAAAATTATGCTTGTATATCATTTTCCAGTAAAGTAAAACCTGTTGATGAAACACTGATAACTTAACAGGGAGTTTTTTGAGGTTATCATCAAATCTAAGCAAAAAATGCATACCTCCTAACTTTTTACAAATTTGACTGGGGATATAAAACCAAAAACTTTTTTCATTTTTCAAAAAGGATTTAAGCCAATTTATTTTAATTGTACCATTAATACATTCAATGTCAAGGGCTTTTAGACCCCCTTCTTCATATTTTTTGACCAATGTTCCTTTTTTAATATAGTGTGTTTTTCTTTTCCAGATGAAATTAAAAATAGCTTGGTTTCTTGCATTTTTAGGAAAATAAATTGAGTAGGCTGGGTAAACAAGTCTAGAAATGCACTCCATTTTTGTAAGAAAAATTCTACCAATAATACAAATGTCTCTTACAACAAAGGCTAGTTGTCTAAAATCAACTACAGTAAAATATTGTTATATATATATAAATCTTTTTTTTTTTTTTTTTTTTTACAGACGATAGGACACATTTCTCAATATTTGGGTCACTTTTGGAAATCTCTTCACACAGTGAGCACAACAGAAGTCTATGTGGGCTAAACTGTGGATCAGTTATTGTTTTGGGCACAAAATGCATTCAATGGCTACATCTCCCTGCTGAAAAATCCAGCTTAAACCAGCCTAGGCTGATTGGCTGGTTTTAGCTGGTTGAGCAGCCTGGTTTGACCAGCTAAATCCAGCTAAAAACAGCTTGACCAGCCTGGTTTAAGCTGGACATGGCTGGTTTAGGCTGGGCTCCCAGCCTGGCTAAGCTGGTTTTAGCTGGTCATCTCCCAGCCTGACCAGCAAAGACCAGGCTGGAATTGGAAATGGCTGGAAACCAGCCTGGAAATGGCCAAAACCCTTCTAAAACTAGCCTGGTCGACCAGCTAAAACCAGCCAACCAGCCTAGGCTGGTTTAAGCTGTTTTTTTCAGCAGGGCTCTCAAATTTCTTCAATGCTTTTTTCACTCAGACACAACAACTGCCAGAAATTATTGTACGTAAAGGACATTTAGCACATGCTTACATTCTGTTCTCAGAACTGTTGAACTTGTTTAAAACAATAACACAATGCAAAACCGAATCAGACAGCCAAATTCAACAGCAATATTTTATTGAAACTTTTTTCACATCTAAAAATGCAGTTCAAGCACCCACAGCTGATTCTCATTATAGATGAACATCTACACAGGTCTGACATAAGATGTGATGCCGAAGAGAACCTGTGGCCAATTGGAAAAGACTGATTCACATTACAATTGTAAGCCTATCTGTATTAGCGGATGGTGTGTGCATACAAATTCTTGTATTTTGAAATGACTTAGTGCAAAAAAAATTACAAATAAATGAACAACATAAAATATTGAGGAATTCTGCATCATGTCTGATTCATTCCAGTAACATATATTGCAGTTATAAACAGAGATGTGTCCTCGTTTTACACAAGAAAACACTGTGTAATGCTGTTGTGTTTTTCAGCTGATTGTTTTGTGGGTGACTAAGTGTGTTTGTGGGCTGTCAACCTTTAGTGTTCTGGAAGAATGAGTTTAACTGAGGCCTGAATGAAAAATAATAAATACAAATTTAAAAGGCGGCGACGCAGTGGCGCAGTAGGTAGTGCTGTCGCCTCCCAGCAAGAAGGTCGCTGGTTGGAGCCTCTGCGTTTCTGTGTGGAGTTTGCATGTTCTCCCTGCGTTTGTGTGGGTTTTCTCCGGGTGCTCAGGTTTGTGTGTGTGTGGATGTTTCCCAGAGATGGGTTGCAGCTGGAAGGGCATCCGCTGCGTAAAAACTTGCTGGATAAATTGGCGGTTCATTCAGCTGTGGTGACCCCGGAATAATAAAGGGACTAAGCCGACAAGAAAATGAATGACAAATTTAAAAGACGAGAAAAAAAAAAGAGCAAAAAATAGAAAAATGTAGTCGAAATTTTGTAGGTAATATTTTTTTTGCAATATTTTGCTTAAGTTTATTTGTTTTATTTTACAATTTCTGAATGTGTTCTGTGACTAAATATTATCTTAATAAATATATCTGTTTAAGGGTGACGCGTAGGTAGTGCTGTCGCCTCATAGCATGTAGGTCGTTGGTTCGAGCCTCGGCTGGGTCAGTTGGCGTTTCTGTGTGGAGTTTGCATGTTCTCCTTGCGTGGGTTTCCTCCGGGTGCTCCGGATTCCCCCACAAGTCCAAACACATGCGGTACAGGTGAATTGGGTAGGCTAAATTGTCCGTAGTGTATGAGTGTGTGTGTGAATGTGTGTGTGGATGTTTCCCAGAGATGGGTTGCGGCTAGAAGGGCATCCGCTGCGTAAAAAAACTTACTGGATAAGTTGGCGGTTCATTCCGCTGTGGTGACCCCGGATTAATAAAGGGACTAAGCCGACAAGAAAATGAATGAATGAATGAATGAATGAATTTACCGTAGTGTATGAGTGTGTGTGTATGTTTCCCAGAGATGGGTTGCAGTTGGAAGAGCATCCACAGCATTAAAATGTGCTGGATAAGTTGGCGGTTCATTCAGCTGTGGTGATCCAAGATTAATAAAGGGACTAAGCCGACAAGAAAATGAATGAATGAATGATTTGTGCCCAGCTTTGAACCTCCAGTCCAGTAAAAATGTGAGAAAGAAAGAATGATATAAGGAATGAAAATGTAAAGTCTATACACATAAATTCAGTGTATTCAAATTTACAAAATGAAATGACATGTTGAAATCTCAACTCATCTGCACAGGCGCACTGCTAGCGTTGATTTTGCATCTGGAGAGCACTGCTGCCATCTAGTGGTTGCAATGGATGTATCTACTGACGCGGTGCATAAAGGACATTAAAGGCTATTTTGTTGATAGTTTTTGTTCCATTTTACAAAATCTTACACACAAAACACACAACATGCAAATCATCACACACATCTTGCAAAATCAATCATTAAAATGTGTTTAACCTTCAACAGAATAGTGTGGGGTGAGCGGTGTCAATGTTTGATTCTCAAATCAGTTGATGAAGGGTTATGCTTTGGTAGCTGATGATCTTATACCTTCCAATGCCACACACACGCACGCACGCGCGCGCACACACACACACACACACACACACACACGCGCGCACGCACGCACACACTCGGCGACACTTTTAATTCTCAAGATAAAGTTAAGATAAAGAAATGAGCATCAGTGTTGGACATTAAATATACATTAGGATGGATTCGTGATCCCTTTTATCTTCAGTGTTTTCAATGGTTTAACAGAATCAATCCAAGCAGGCACAGCAGGACTGTGTAGAGGCTTCCGAAATGACTGAAGGCTGTAAGAGAAAAAAGAAAAGGATAACAGGTATTAAAACTAAACCACATTAAAATAACCCCCACACCATTCAATACAAACAGATATTTACCACTGCCCGGAGCATTTCTCCTTGTTGATACAGACCCTGATGCCAAAGTAAAATACAAACAGAAATAATTCAACTAATAAGTATTTATTAAAATGTGTAAAATAATATTAAACAAAATATAAAAACATAAAAACTAAATAAATCTGCCTTTTGCTTTAAAAATGTTCCCCAGCATCTGTGGTTTGTCTTCATTCTTTTCTGTTTATTTTATTCTTCCATGCAAAGATTCATTTATTTGTTCATTTTCTTTCAGCTTATCTTCTTTATTCAACAGGGGTCGCCACAGCAGAATGAACCACTAACTAATCCAGCCAATAATATCCAGCTGCAGGCCCGCAGAACCACACACGTTTTAGGCACACACAATCTAGGCAAACCATATATGGTTATGACGGATGTTAATATAATTAACGTCTTTTTGAACATCGTCATCGATTTATTTTTTGATATATATGTTTAATAATATTGTACACAATAAACAGTAGTGTTTACTTTATTTCACAAATATTCCGATTAAGATGGTCGAATGGGGAGCATTGTTTCCCATTGCCATTCAGTATAATAGACAGAACAGTTTTCTATCAGTCATCATGATCAGTCATTATTATCTGACAATAATATAGCAGATACTCGTTTGCTGGCCTTGCTGAATGATCTAATTTGGACAGGTTTAATTTATATAATGGATTAATTTATGATGAAGGAAATAATAGCAAGTTAATATAAGCAATAATACATTATATGTAATAAATATCGTTTTACATGTAACAAATGTATAACACTATATTCATATTTTACTAATGCTATTTAATAGTGTTTATTAGCTTAATTTTCTAATAACCTTTTAGTTATTGATTTCGCACATTTAATACTGTAGTAATTTATAGTAAGCAATAAATAATTTTTAAATTTAGCAATAGGAACAAATTTACTAATAATAATAAAAAATAATAAGTATATATATATATATAAACTAACAGCTGTGACAGTTAGTAAAAGATAGTAGTTTATAAATAAAATTATAATTATAATAACTATATATAATGTTTAAATGATTAACTATAGTAGGCTAATTTATTTTAAAGTGACATATTATTATTTGCTTTTTTTATTTTACAACAAAGTGATTTTAACCAAGTATAATAATATTAAGATCCTGAATTAGTTTATTACACTTAATCCAACAATTAGACGGTCTATAATGTTTTCTTTGTGTATATGGACACATGAATAAAGTCAAAAGTGTCTTAAACTGATTATTTTTATTTACATAATTTGAGTTCAGAAACTGCAGAGATGTTGTCGGTGCAATAGCCAAGGGGTTAGCGCGTCGATATATGGTGAAACAGCTTGTCAGGACGTCGCGAGTTCGAATCCCAGCTAGATGACCAACTAAAACCAGCTTGACCAGCTTAGCCAGGCTGGGAGCCCAGCTTAAACCAGGCTGGTCAAGCTGTTTTTAGCTGGATTTAGCTGGTCATTTTCCAGCCTGACTAGCTAAGACCAGGCTGGAAATGGCTGGAAACCAGCCTGGAAATGGTCAAAAACCCTCTAAAACCAGGCTGGTCAACCAGCTAAAACCAGCCTAGGCTGGTTTAAGCTGGATTTTTTAACAGGGTATTGACCTTATTCTTCAACGCGGAAGTGTTTTTCGCGATTGTTTCAGAACTCCCGATTCAGTCGCCTATAGGAGAAATGACTAGGAATAACGGTACCACTTTACAATAAGGTTCATTAGTTAATGCATTTACTAACATGAACAACACATGTACAGCATTTATTAATCATAATTAAACATTTATTAATGCATTATTACCATCCAAGTCCATGCTTGTTAACATTAGTTAATGCACCATGAGTTAACATGAACTAACAATGAACTACTCTATTTTCTTTCAATACACTATCAAATACACTAGTAGATGTGTTGTTCATTGTTTGTTCATGTTAGTAAATGCATTAATTAACATTAACTAATAAACCTTATTGTAAAGTGTGACCGGAATAACAAACCGCAGAAAACGGTCAAACTACTCGCTCTACAAACAAGTGTTTGCATGACTATACAGACAAAGCAGAATAATATAAGGAGAAAATGTCCGATTGCAACATCAAGCAGCGTAACCAGCTGAAACACGTCTAAAATGAATGGAAGTGAATGAGACCTGAAGTCCCGAGCCAAAAAGATTCAAATGGCTGCGCCCGCTCGTACACAGAAAATAAGGTCAATATAGTAGAAAAGGAGCGTTTATTTAACAGTTCAACCCATTTCTACCCATATTCATTTGCTTTATTTTAATCAAAGGTTGGATTTTTTTTGTTCATTAGTAAGTGCTAGAAAGGATGCAAACGTTTTCTCCAAACCTTTTGCATTAACGGTGAGAAGCGCCTCCATGCCTGCATGGATGTGGTCCGTCACGTGACAGTGTAGTAACCACTGTCCAGGATTTCCAGCGATTAGTTCAATGGTCTGAAATGTTCCAGGGAACAGGTCAAAAACATCAGCGCGATGAAAATGATCTGTCTGAAAGAAGAAAGGAAAGCTTGTGAGAAACATTTTCAGGCAGAATTTATCCAGAGATACTGATTGAGGAGTAAAGCAAACAGGATGGCACTCTAGCGTCAAATTTCCCCTATTGTGTGTCTATACACTCAAGTCTACTGCTGTATAGATTCGGATGTATGTATGGTAATCACAATGGTAAACACTATATACCTCAATGCCCATCACACAACTACAACCTCCTCAATTTATTGTTACAGCTGTTGTTATTTTTATTATTATCATTATTATTAGTATTATTATTATTACCAGCATGAGTATATTATAGTTATCAAGTTAATAATCTATCATACATATCTTTAATATTATTCTTCCATGTGGGTTTGTATAATTCATAATTAGCATTGATATAGTGTTTTCTTTTTTATTTATTTAGTTTTTATTATTATTATTCATTTTTTTTTGCTTATTCTCATTGCTTTGTTTGCTGAACTTTATTTTTCTTCTCTCTTTTTGTTTCTTTTCTTTTTCTTCTACTCCTCCCCTTCCTTTTCTGTTTTTTTTATTTATTTATTTCATTTTATTTATTTATTTTTATTATTATTATTTTAATAACGTTTGTTTATTATTATTAGTTTATTTTCTCTTTTCCTCTCTTTCCCCTTCTACTTACTACTATTATTATTATTATTATTATTATTATTACTTGTCCTCTCCCTGATTTCCCATCCTCCCCTCTCCTCGACACCTTTCTCATAAGTGGTATTACTTTTATTTTTTGTTATCATTATTATTATTACAGTTTTGACTTGTCCTGTTATCTTTCCATTATCATTATTACAAGTATTTATACCATTATCATTATTAAGGTTGCAGTTGTTGTAGTTGTAGCGGTAGTAGTTGTAGTAGTAGTAGTAGTAGTAGTAGTTGAAGTAGTAGACATTGTAATAGTATCGATTATTATTGAGTAATTGTTACAGAGATTATCGAAGTAGTAATTCATGTAGTAGTAGATGTCATTGGTATAGTAGTAGCAGAAGTAGTAATGGTGTGGTGGTTACAGTAGTAGTAGTAGTCGTTGTTGGTGTAGTAATATCAGTAGTAGATGTTGTTGATGTAGATGTAGTAGAAGTGATTATGGTGGTGGTAGTAGTAGTAGTAGTAGTAGCAGCAGTAGACGTTGTTGTATTAGTTGTAGCAAACGCTATAGTAGTATCAGTAGTGGTAGTCATTGTAGTAGTATCAGTATTAGTAGACATGGTAGAAGTAGTAGTCGTGGTTGTGGCTGTAGTAGAAGCAGTAGTAGTTGTAATATAAGTAACTTTCTGTAGTAGTAGTTGGTGTAGCACTTGTGATTTATTATTATTGTTGTCAGTTATTACTGTTGTCCTTTCTTTCTTTTTACTCTCATTTTTACTATCATACATTAATAAGCATTGTTGTTACTCCCTACCTCTGACTGGTTTCTTTCTTTATGTTTTATCTATATCTGTGACACTTGCTTCATTTATTGACTGTTATTGTTCCCAATGTATGTACTCTGACCTGTCCACCAAGTTACCTTTACATGCATACACACACTCACACACTCACGCACATACCAGTACATGACTATATTGTTGTTGTTTTTGTTTTTGTTTCGCTGCTTTGTATTTGTTATTTGTTGATGTTTTCTTGTATTTGTATGATTTTTGCATATTCTAATAAAAAAAAAAATAAATAAAATAAAATAAAATAATGGTAAAAGAGATGGAATGTTGCTGATTAAATATATAAATTCAACGTGTCATATTTTCCTCAGGAAAGTCAAAGCAGATAAAATGATCAGCTCGTAAAATAACTACAGAAAGGAGCATTGTGCTAATTATACGGACTAATTTACATATTCATTTATATTTGTTTTACTTCACCCAATATCTTCATTGTTTAACGTATGAGTTTTAAAGCAAGATCTGCAGTGGTGTGTTTTTATTTACTTTGTAAATGAAGCTCTGAGCATGGAAATGAACAGTGTGCATGTCCACTTCATTCCCCAGTCCCAGCAAATACCACTTCGTATGGTCTCCCTCTGTCATATTTAACCCTTGGAGGTTACTGTACAACTTTCCATTAATACCTGTGGAAAACAAAGAATTTTTAACTTCAAAAAGGTTCAAAACGTTTAACACAGACAATAACACACACACACACACACACACACACACACACACACACACACACACACACACACACACACACACACACACACACACACACACACACACACACACACACACACTGTTACGAACCGCACAGTTTTGCTGCGTGTATGTTCTTTCTGTCTCTATCTCTTTCTCTCTCTCTGTACCAGCCCTGTCATTTTCTCAGGTACCGCCTACTTTGGAGCACTATTGGCTGACAGGACTGCCAATCCTAATCAACCGTGTGACGATGACTTCTCTCTCTGCCAATCGCGTTTGTTGCAGAGCCCTTTAAAAACGGAAGCGGCAACAGGGAGAAATCTAGTGGTGGGCAAAGCGAGGCTTCATGAAACACTGAAACAGTCGAAGCAAATGTGTCGAAGCTTCGAAACGTTTCGAAACCCCACTCTACAGTGACACCTAGTGGTCATTTTTTATGTATTGCACTGAAACAGCTGCAGCACAGAACAGTTGAGCAAATTGAGGTATTAAACCCCACTTTGTAGGCTTGGATTGCAATTAATATAGCGCAGCGGTTTAGGTGACTGACTAGTATCTGGGGAACGTGGGTTCGAATCTAGGCTTATACAGATATTTTGAAATGCTTTAATACCAGTTGGTAATGCTTTGCTCTTGTATCGTTTTGTTTCAACATTGGTCGGATATCCGAATAAACAATTTGTGAATAAATATGTCTTGTTTTGGTCTTAAATCAGGGTTGTTGCTAGATCAGAAACTGTGGCCTGAAGTTATCAAGAATTATTTATATTATTCATAAAATTTCCCATTTATGGTATTTTATTAACGTCTACCCAAACCCTAAACCAAACTATCACAGTACTGTAAAAATATTAATTATTGTTTTACAGTGTTACAAAAATGATGCTAAATTGATGGCGTAACTGCAGCTGTGTCCTATTTAGGCTACACAAAACAGAAACATGATAAAAACACATAAAACCATGATTTCTGAGTATTTGTTCAAGTAGGGATTCGAACCCAAAACGTCAATTGATGCATAGTAACATCGTGCACACAGCTATAAGTATAGTCCACTAGGCTATAAGAATCAGTATTTTCCCAACCTTGGCTACCAAATGAAGAGTCGCCAGGTCTCGAAACGCTTCTAAGGCGATCAGTGCTTTGAATTGCTTTAGTCACGTGACCCGGTGTTTCGAAACACTTTAGTCACGTGACTTGGGTGCTTCGGATCATGCTTCGGTGCAGTGTTTCGAAACACTTGCGCTTCGGGATCTCGACACTGTGTCGAAACGTCAGTTTCACATCAGCCATCCCTAGAGAAATCAGCTGTTGCTGTTTTGGCGTGTTGTCTGGTGGTGTTTGGCTGGATGTGTACTTTGATTAAGATTTATTGATGTTGACTTTGAGTGAGATTAACTGTTGACTTTGAGTGAGATTTGTTTGAGAGTTTTGAGAGTGTTTTCTACACCTCTAGCCCGCTATTGCTCCATTCAAAAACCTTCTGTGACCTGACAAGGGAGATCTGGAACAACATAGTAAGTCACGTGACATACATATTTGCACGCAGGTTTATTGATGTATAGACACACTAGTTAGCGAAGTGCGCTAATTTTGTATTTTTATTTATTAGTTAAGAGTAAGTTCAGGGCGCTTTGCGCTGAAGACTTTTCTTTTCATATTGTTGTTTTCTTATTTAGTGGATTTGGGAAGAGATTAAGGGAATGTTTTTGTTATATTTATTTTTTTGATTTGCATGCGCAAACTTCAGTTCCCTCTCCTAATTGTCTTGGTTCTTTTCAACTTTATCTTATTGTTTGTAAATAATGTGGGAGCAATAAATCTTTTGCGGTGCTAGTTTGTTGTTTGGTGTTTTCTCTTGCCATTCTTCATCATCAGTTTATACTTTGGTCATCTTTATGTTACTCCTTTTAATACCCTAGACCAACGGTTCTCAAACTTTTTTCATCAAGTACCACCTCAGAAAAAAATTGTCTCTCCAAGTACCACCAAAATGAGCAGTATTGAAATACAGTAGCGTAGTAGACCCAGTAAAGCAGCTACAACTCTGCACAGTTAAAAAACGTGGCAGATTACCTCAGAAATATAGGTTATATGTCATTATATACATCATTTTTGATAAATTTTGAAATGTGTGTAGCATGTACATGACATATTTCATTCCTCCGCGTACCACTAGAAGGAAGCTTGCGTACCACTAGTGGTACACGTACCACAGTTTGAGAACCACTGCTCTAGACATATTGCCATCAAGGATCGTAACACACACACACACACACACACACGTTGTTATTAGTGATGTTTGAAGACTCTCCATAGGCATACTGTATTTTATACAGTAAAAACTGCTTATTATTATATGGTCCTGCTCTACCCTTACTCCTAAACCCAACCCTCACAGTAAACCGTTGCAAACTTTGAACATGAAAAGACCCAATTTAGTATGATTTTGAAGCATTTTGAATTACAAGGACATCAGGCATGTCCTCAAAAACCACCATAATAGAGTACAACTAGGTCACACCAATGTTACAATACAAAAAAACTCTGTAAACTACCACAACCAGTACACACGCACACACACTTACCATGCATTTTGTTGCTCTCCATAAAGTCCCCAGCATATTTGTCAAATTCTTCTAAGTCAACATCAAGGTACTGTTGTATGTTTTCATCCAGGTAATGCGACTCATTTTCATCAAACACCATAAACAGAAGGGCAAACTCTTTATTTCGGTCTTTTCTTTGTCTGTCTGCATCCAGGGTGTTTTTACGGCACACTATCAGTGGACCCACCAATCCACTCATCAAGTCCTGAGGGGCACACATAACAGACCTGTGAATCTACAATCCTGCTGTAAAGCCCAATATTCAAATTCACTTGTTGTTTTAACATCTACATTGTTAAAACAACAACATCTTCGGCTTGGGTGGTAATATGTTATACCGCGGGATCGAACAATAGCAACGGTGTCAGTTTCAATACCGTTATACCGTCATAAAAACAATGCACTTATATAGGAGACGAGTATTAAATAGTAAACATTATTTATTTAATGCCTAAAAATGCGACAGAGAGAGAGGTGAGGTGAGGTCATATGGCGAGTCGCACACCAAGTGACCTGGTCTCGAAAAAGAACACAACCTCTGCAACCTCGTGGTAAATACGAACTAGAGGTCTGCATTCCCGCTGCTGTACCACAGGACCAGATTTCTTGCGGTGCGGGAATTAATTTCCTAAAAATGAGCGGGAGCAGTCGGTAACTCTGGTGTAATTTGTATGGGAGCAGGCAGTCTAACAATATAACTCCCGAGTGAGCGAGCACGCATGCAACGGCGTGGATGCTGTTTATGCGTGTGTGTGTGTGTGTGAGGGCAGCGTGATAGTCCTTTGCCTAGAGCGGCAGTTCAGCTTGCTCCAGCCCTGTTTGTGTGTGTGTGTGTGTGTGTGAATGAATGAATGAGAGAGAGCGTCCATTGCGAAGAACAAGACAAACAGGTGACCGTGTACCTAAGGTCGCATATACGATATTCGGTTTCTGAATGGTTTAGGCACAAGCCAACAGTTTGGAGACGCTGTCTGAGCCTTACATCATAATTATTTAAATTATGCACAGTAATACCGGATACCGAGGTAAAATAGGGAGGTTTTATGGTATCAAAATTTGGATACCGCCCAAGCCTAATCTACATACGCTCTGATTCAGTAAATACACACTAAATACACTGCAAAAAAAGGCTTTTCTTTTCTTAGAATTTTTGCCTTGTTTCTAGTCTAAAAATCAAAATATTCTTAAATCACGAAGCTTTTTGTAGATAAGTAAAAACATTGTCGGTTTTGTAGAAATAATATGTCAAAATTAGGTGACTTTTTCATTAAAACAAGCTAAAAATATTTCATAATGAAAACAAGATTATTTTGCTTTTTTTTAAAGGAAAAACACTTACTTTTGATGTATTATTTATAAAAATAACAAATTTTATGCAAGTCTAGAAAATGCTTTGTGATTTAGTAATATTTTTTATACTTAAACAAGAAACAAGACAAAAACTGTAAGTAAGAAAAGCATTTTTTGCATTGTTTGTATTTAGTGTAAGCATTTGCTGTTTGGCCCATACAATGTCCATTTGATGTATAATGCACGGATTGTGTTGTATATGTGAATTATACCTTGACTAAGCTGGTAGAGGAGTAGTAGGCAAACGTTATGCAGTCTGGATCCTTAGGACCTGGACCTGATCGCTTTGGAATGGTCCAAGTGTATTTCAGCACATTACCTGTAATACAAGTACATACATACAAGTAAATACAATTATTATTATTATTATTATTATTATTTCAAATGTAGTTTGAGACTCCAATATATAAATATGTAATCTGATGTAATGCATGTTTTAAAGAAAAACATCCCACTAAAGGAAGCTAAAAAAAGGTCATAAGTGCAGTTGTGCCATGTTTGATAAAAATACTTGATTCTTTAACGTAATACTATACAAAATATTATTCATTCATTCTTTCATTTTCCTTCAGCTTAGTCCCTTATTTATCAGGGGTCACCACAGCGGAATGACTGCTAACTATTCCACCCCCTGTTTTACGCAGCAGATGTCCATCCAGCTGCAACCTAGTACTGGAAAACACCCTACACTCTCATTCATACACACACACACTCACACACTACGTCCAATTTAGTTCGTCCAATTCATCCATAGCGAATGTGTTTGGACTGTGGGGGAAACCGGAGCACCCGGAGGAAACCCACGCCAACATGGGGAGAACATGCAAACTCCACACAGAAATGCCAACCCAATTCACTTGTACCGCATGTCTTTGGACTGTGGGGGAAACCGGAGCACCCGGAGGAAACCCACACGAACGCAGGGAGAACATGCAAACTCCACACAGAAACGCCAACTGAGCCGAGGCTCGAACCAGCGACCTCCTTGCTGTGAGGCGACAGCACTACCTACTGTGCTACTGCTTCGCCACAACTAAATTATATCAGATGCTACAGTATCCTGTAATAGTTTTCTAAGGAACAATGTTGAAGTTTGTGCCAAGCTCAACAAAGTTGAATTGCTGTCGTATACTCACTTAAATGTCAATTACTTGCATAATAAATGCTAAAAAGACAGTCAGATCCCGCTACAGGTGTATGCACTCCAGAGGTTTCAATTTATGCAAAAGCAATAATATGATTATACAATGCAATACTTATAATCTCATACGCATTTGTACAAAGCACCCTATAACCTGTATAATTATAACAAATCTGTATATACAGCTCAACATTCACATCTTTTTTGACTAACTGCATCTTTGTTTAATCGTCTTTTTTCATATTTATTTTGTGTTGTCATTTGTCACTTCTGTACCAAAAAAACAAACTCCTTGTGTGTGAAGCACACTTGGCTATAAAACTGATTCTGATTCTAAAAAATATATAAAATATACTTAAATATATAAAAAATATATTTATTTCAATAGGTAAATAGTTTTACACTGCTTTGCTTGAGTGATTTTATTTGTTTCTAGTACAAATATCAAAAAATAAATAAATAAAATAATTTAATCAAGCAGCATTTTCTAGATAAGCAAAACAAAAAGTTGAGTTTTTACTTGAAACAAGCAAAATAATCTGCCAGTGGGGTGTTGTTCCTTGTGACAAGATTATTTTGCTTACCCCAAAGCAAAACTCACTTAATTTGACATGCTATTTCCTAAAAAAATACTATATGTTTTGTTTGACTAGAAAATGCCTCTTGATTTAAGAATGTTTAGATATTTGGACTAAAAATCGAAGTAACACAAGCTTTTTGCTTTTGTTTATAATTTTATAAAGCTTGAAAACAGTAGATCAAAATACAAGCATTTTCAGGATTTCCAGCACCCATTAGCATCCTGATAATATGACAAATATATATTGATTTTAATCAAAAACCTGGTTGAACATCTTTCTGATGGGGTTCGCTGGTCTTCACCCCGTGGGCATGAATGGAATACGGCCTGCTGGCGTTGTTTTTAAAGACAACCTCAATTTTCTCTCCAACTTCACCTTTAATAATCGGACCTAGAGATAAAAAAGTAAAGAAACAAAATAAATGTCTGCCATATCACAGAAAAAAGGTGAAATTTTACAATCGACACTCTTGAAGTCAGATGTGCCGTACCCATTATCCCCAAGTGCTCCTCATCTGCACCCCTGGGTTTCTGTTTGGTAAAAGTTTCATCTGAGTATTCTCGATACACCACCTTCTTATATTCAGCTCCGATCCGGTTTTTTGATCTCTGGAGGTAAACACTTCCAATGCTGTGTAAACAAAGACAGAGAGAATGCGTGAATGAGTCTAAAATGTGTGCACAAATGCTATTAAATGTCCCATGAAATTACTTACATAAATTTTTGTTTTTAGACGTTTGTATCAGAAAGTTTTATGGATGTCTATAAGCTACAAATCAATGACAAAATTTCTCTTTAGAACACATGAATTTGATCTAAACATCCAAATCATTCTCACTCCTGCCTAAATGGATCGACAATTCTTTTTGTGACATCACCTCATACTTCTGCGGTCACACTTGGCTTTTCCTACCATAGACTTCCACGCGAATACGTCAGACCGGACACGCAGGGTCATGCGTTAAGTTTCGCAGGTTGCTGCGGTGCAAAGTTCAAGCTTGGTGAGCTCTGACCTGCAAAATCGCATCACTTGACTGCGTGAGACCAATCGAGGATCAAAACATGACCTCTCTGGACAGAAATGTAAAACATGGAGCAGTCGCTCGCTTTTTTTAAAATATCTAATAAGCTTGTTTAATCCCGCCCCTTTTCGCAGCGCCGTACGACAGAATATCGCATGCTCAAACTCAAAATGTGACCATAGCTTAACTCTCATTGGCAGAGCTGTGATAAAACAAAATGCTATTGGCTGTTTTTTTTAATAAAGGGGAGGTGCTAGTTTATGTCCCACCCTCTGTTCATGTTTCAGTTGAGATTACATCAAACTTCCAATTAAAAATGCACAATTCAAAGCACTTCAAGGGACCTTTAAAGCCAACTATGTAAATATTCAGTCGAAAATAAAGTAGATATAGAAGTTATTAGGAGAATTAAGGCTTTCTGGGCGTACCTTTCCATTTGTGTAGCCTTGTGTTTCTCTAATTCCCATGTTCGGTTTGGAGCATAGTTCCAGATGATTTCCTCTGCGGCTATATAATATTTCCTTGTGGAGGTGAAAAGCTCTGGCGCGGGAGTCTTTGCTGAACAGGGCTTGACTGTGTAATGTTGACGCATTCCTGCATGGAAATGATCGGCTGTCTGACAGCTGACCTCAAACATGCCTGAAGAAAACAGACATAATGATCATTAACAACATTTGTTTACACCTTTTATTCATTTAGTTTTTCACAACATACAATTGCAAAGTGCTCTGTGTGTGTAATGGGAATATACAGTAAATGCACTATATAATGCACATTACTTATATACAGTAGAACTCAGTATTAGTCTCTTGGGAGTTTTATTTTTCAAATATTTCCCAAATGATGTTTAACAGAGCAATGATTTTTTTCACATTATTTCCATATTTTTTTCCTCTGGAGGAAGTCTTATTGGTTTTATTTCGGCTGGAATAAAAGCAGTTTTTAATGTTTTAAACCCATTTTAAGGTCAATATTATTACCCCCCCTAAGCTATATTAGTTTTGGATCGTCCCCAGAACAAACCATCATTATACAATGACTTGCCTAATTACCCTAACCTGCTTAATTAACCTAGTTAAGCCTTTAAATGTCACTTTAAGCTGTTTAGAAGTGTCTTGAAAAATATCTAGTCAAAATAAATCAGTTATTAGTAATATGTTATTGAAACTATTAAGATTAGAAATGTGTTGAAAAAGATTCTTAACACCGTTCTTGGGGAAATTTGGGAAGAAAATATACAGGGGTACTAATAATTCTGACTTCAACTGTACCTATAATGTATTTTTTCAATTATAAAAAGAGATTTAAGAACACAGAGTTTATGAGACAATTACGTTAGTAAAGAGACAATTAAGTGATTAAATGAGTGTCATTTAACCTGCTGTAAACACACAGACTTATTTATCTGTCACACTTGGCTTTACTTTGCTCTTTGACGTTTCTTATGATGGTTTCTCTCTGGTTGATGTAAACGTCTGAGAGCACAGGATCAATTTTCTGCCTTCTGCAATCATCTGAGATTACGGGATCTATTGTCTGTCTCCAGTTTCTCCCACAGACAGCACTTTCGGTTAAGATACTTAGCATCAGATACAGTAGGCAGACACACTAATGCTGATACTAAAGTGCAGAGCAACACAACTACATTAGACTGGAGTCAATCAATGTGCTCATTCTGCCACAGCAGAGCTTCAGCAGTGAACACAAACCACAAGCTGTGAAAAAGGTTTGGAAAATTGCACAGAGTTTCTATCATCTCTAACATTTATTTTCTAAATGCACCTAAAATAATGAAATTAAAAGCAAATAGTTCAATCTTTATTAGTCACTCCGCTGCTCATCCGTTTGCACTGGCTGCCAGTTGCTGCTCGCATTAAATTCAAAGCTTTGATGTTTGCTTATAAAGCGACTTCTGGCTTTGCTCCTTCTTATCTGCTCTCACTTCTGCAGATGTATGTGCTCTCCAGAAACGTGCGTTCTGTGAATGAACGTCGCCTCGTGGTTCCATCCCAAAGAGGGAAGAAATCACTTTCCTGAACTCTCGCGTTCAATCTGCCCAGTTGGTGGAATGAACTCCCTAACTGCATCAGAACGGCAGAGTCACTCGCTGTCTAAAAACTCAACTATTTAGTCTCCACTTTCCTTCCTAATCTACAATTGCCTCTCTGGCTCCACCGCTTACTGTATTACAAAAATAAATAAATAAATAAATTATTAATGTTTTGCTTCTTACACTTTACACACCTGAAACTTGCCTACAGCACTTATTCACTGTGGCTCTTATAGTTGTGTAAATTGCTTCCTTGTCCTCACTTGTAAGTCACTTTTGATAAAAGGGAGAACATGCAAACTCCACACAGAGCAACCCATCTCTGGGAAATATCCACACACACACTCATACACTACGGACAATTTAGCCTACCCAATTCACCTGTACCACATGTCTTTGGACTGTGGGGGAAACCGGAGCACCCGGAGGAAACCCACGCGAAGGCAGGGAGAACATGCAAACTCCACACAGAAACACCACCTGAGCCAGTGGCTCGAACCAGCGACCTCCTTGCTGTGAGGCGACAGCACTACCTACTGCGCCACCCACAAAAGCTATACATTTTGATGAAATCTGTAACCATTGACTTCCATAGTATTTGTTTTCTGTTACTACTATGGAAGTCAGTGGTTACCAGTTTTTATCTTTCTTCAAGATATCCTCTTTAGTGTTCAACTTAACTGTCCCTTTAAGAGTTCAAATAAAATGTGCCAAAATATATGCATCTGGTAATGTCCTGACAGAAATCCTACATTTTCACTAGAGGTGTGAACCTATACTGGTCTCACGGTTCGGTTCGGTTACGATTATCATGCCATCGATTCAGTTCAATTCGATATCTCGGTGCATCACAGTGCATTGACGGTGCTTTCCATATACAGTGTTATATTTTAGGGGGGAGGCTATAACATGCTGTCTGTATAAACACACAGACACACAGCAACACACTGTCTCTCATTCAAACACATTCACAAACATAGACAGCATCAAACAAACAAACACACACACAAACAAACACATTTAAGCCCTCGCAATAGGGAGAGCTCGCGCTGAGCGGAGCAAAAAAACGAAAAAAAAAAAACGGAAAAAATAAGCACTTTTCTGACGGTCCCTTACAGAGAGCTTCTCTCAGCGCGAGCTCTGCCGGCTAAAGTAAACGCAGACTGCGAGGGCTTAAACGGAGCAGCGCTCGTAATGTTGAGCGGAAAAAAGAAAGACAGCTGTGAAACATAACCAGCTTTGTCTTTCTGTAGGAAACACACTTTAGATCTTTTTAGGGTAAGAGGTTTTTGAGTTATTGCCGGCTATAACTGAATGTGTGTCAGGAAAATCGAAAACAAAACCAACTGAAGCGCGCTCATTTCTGGGGCCCCCCTGGATATACAGCACCCTTAGCATTTGCCTATGGTGCCGATGCCACGGGCCGGCCCTGAGTTGGCTGAGTGTTGTAAATAACGGCGCTCACCTCCCTCGCGACAGAGCGCATAGGAGATAAATGACGTCACTACATAATAACCGGTTATTCAATTCAATTCAATTCAGCTTTATTTGTATAGCGCTTTTACAATGTAGATTGTGTCAAAACAGCTTCACATAAATGGTCATAGTAACTGGAACAGTGTGGTTCAGGTTTTAGTGTTTAAGTTCAGTTCAGTTCAGTTTAGCTCAGTTCAGTGTGATTTAATCATTACTGAGAGTTCAAACACTGAAGAGCAAATTCATCGATGCGTAGCTCTACCAATCCTGAACCATGCGAGGCAGTGGCGACAGCAGAGAGGGAAAAAAAACTTCACCTGATGGGAGTGAAGAAAAAAAACCTTGAGAGAACCAGACTCAGTTGGGCACGACCATTTTAATTTCTCCGCTGGCCAAAAGTCTTGTGCAGAGCTTCATTCGCCGTGGTTGAGGCTGGAAGATGGCCTCAGCGAAGACTCGTCTGCCCCTGGAGCGTCGCTGGAATCAGACTCATGTTCTCCACTCCCCACGACCATCAGCGCAGCAGCAGCTCAGGATATGGCCTGGTCCCGGATATGGAATCCGGTTATGAATATGGTTATGATTATTACTGAATCGATACCGAATTGTCCGCGTCTGCATCGCGGTGCACCGAAGAAACAATTAATTTTGACACCCCTAATTTTCACACATAAACTCAGTTTATCTGGGAACTTTCTACTAAAGCTGGGTTCGGCTGGGTTTGGCTTTGACATTACATTGAAATCATTATTGAAAACAAGTGATTTATCAAAGCATATCAAGTACACAACCTCTTGCGTGTAATGGATAAACAATAGCTGTTTCCATCTAAAGATGTGAATTTATGCTCAAAACTGGAATAACGCCTAAAAGACATGCAAATAAACTGTCTCCATCCAATCAAAGAGAACAAAGTTATTACTTTCTGATAAACTGGTGCCAAATATCAAAAGTAATAAGGAAATTTCGCTGCAGTAGGAGAAGCTGCGTGAATCGTTTCTTTATTTAATAAATGACTTGTGCCTCAGAAGACAGTATGCTGCCACACAATGAACACGTAGTGGCGTTTGAAGGTGTCAGACGCAGAGCACAGACGCTCTTGACTATTCTGGAGGTCATTAATAATATAATAACACCAATACTGAAATGGTTAAGGTGTTTTAGAACGGCCAATACAACATTTCAGATGTTTTACAATGTGCTCAGCTCATTGGTTTGTCCATTTACACACACTTTCATCATCACATGATCTCTTAAAACAAAATCACATGACCTTTTTTAATGCTCATACTGGAATTTGTTCAGTAAAAGTGTTTCCATCGCAGTTTATGCGCATCTTTTCTTATCGAATAAAAAGTTTATCCTACTCAGTTATGCGCATACGTTTTTTTTTTTTGCGTATTTTTAAAATGTATGTGCATCCTTGAGTTTCCATCAACCATTTTTTTTTGCACATATCCAATAAGTAGAGGGAAACAGTTATTGACACAAACAAATGCTTGAAATAAAAGCAAGTGACCTACCGTTATTGTCGGGGGTCATGTTAACAGTCACTGAAGTATGTGGAAAGATACTCAGAGTGTCACGGTTCATCCCATTGCGCTGAAACATATTTCCCTGGAAATAAATGCCATGGATATCCAGCTCTGTGCCCAAGCCAAGCGTGTGCCACACAACATGCTCCCCATTACACAAATCCAGACCAGGCAGATTTCCATACATGAACCCGTTCACCGCTGAGAAGAAACAACACATTTTTTATTACAACACGGTCAATAAACTTGTACATTCAGAAAGGAAGCACTTAAAAACACCACTTTTTTTGGTAAATATGCTCATTTTACAGCTCCAAAATTATATTCAATGATGATTCATTGGATTTACGAAATGTTTTAAGTGGTGGTAATCAATTCATTTCGGCTGAATTTAAACAAATTAATTTGCTTGTTTAAATTCCACACATATAAATTGCTTGCAACAATTTTCATTCATTTATTCATTCATTTTCTTTTCGGCTTAGTCACTTTATTAATCAGGGGTCGCCACAGCGGAATGAACCGCCAACTTATCCAGCATATTTTTTATGCAGCTGATGCCCTTCCAGCTGCAACCCATCACTGGGAAACACCCATGCTCATTCACACACATACACTAGGCGATTGTGCTACCCACAGCACCACCGCGTCGCCTGCAACAATTTTGCACACAGCATTTTTTTCAGTGCAGTTGAGTTTTACCATTTTTAATTAATTCATCCAATCTCCAAGTTTGGCTGGAGCATTTTTAGCTTAGCTAAGCTTAAATCATTGAATCGGATTAGACCATTAGCATAATGTTTAAAAAAAAAAAAAAAAAAGTTTGGATAATTTCCTATTTAAAGCTTGAGTGTTCTGTAGTTACATCAGGTATTTGGACTGACGAAAATATAAAAGTTGCTACTTTCTAGCCCGATATGGCTGAACTATACTCTCATTTTGGCGTAATAATCAAGAAAGTTTGCTGTCGTATCATGGCTGCAGCAGGAGCAGTTATTTTACACAGCCCTGAAAATAGTCCCTAGCTCACTAGATAACAGCGCTGCCTAACATCATTGCATTTTCATCATTGCATACGTCAGTCTTAAGCCGCCTTTCCACTGCACACGACATTTGGACACGACTGTCGGAATACGCCCCCTTGTGGCAGCCGCACAGTATTTTCAGTGTTGTCGAGCATCACGGGTGAGAAGCTGATTCTCACGGTGTCCGAAATAAAGAACTGCAAAAGAAATAGCCTTTATTCTCTGAGCGTTTACATAGTTTAATGCATAAATGAATACTAGAAACTCATAGACCGCATAAAATATTGGAGGGAATGTGGAGACAACATTAAAAATACATATTTTTATTACCTTCTTTCTTACATTTATGAACAGAAATGTTTTTCTTTAATTTAGACTTTTTATAATTCCAAAAAATATCCAAATTAACTCCTATTTCTCATCTCGCGCGCATGGACCTGCTTGGACAACATAGATATATACATTAGATGTCGCCTGGCCTATTGTTGTCTATTGGAGGGAATGCGTCAATAGCGCCGCCATCTTGCTACAGGGTAGCGCACCTTTGAAATGAATGCGGGACCAAGGTACAGTGGAGGACTGTGGCAATCCAAAGCCAAAGATAAACACATATACACATATATCTATGATCGGGAGTTTTCCTGGATGTTAGTATGTCATTTTTTTTTTTCTAATTACGAAAATTATAATTGTACATCACTTTTCTACATTGATGGATCAGTGACCGCACGGGCATTCCTGACAAAAAGCTTGTGTTTGTGTGTACAGAAATGTACTATCCACCCTTCCTGTTAAATTTGATCTAATCATGTCCTGAAACACAGCTCCTCTCCTGCTTTCACTGCTCATACTGACGGAGGGAGCGATTCGTTTGTGAATGAATCCACAGAACGACTCCTTCAACAACGTTAGCCGACAATAATACAAGTTTCTGGCAGCGCAGCATCTCGTTGTCATATTTCTTTTGCATTGTTTGCTGATTTTATTCAACAAAACTAGCATAAGCCGAGTGTTTAGTGCGAATTGGAGCTGCTTTGCCTGATGGTGAATGCAGTAAGTGACTATTATCATCAATAACGTGAGCTGATTAGCACAAAAGTTCAGAGCATACGAAAACAGAAAAAAAACTTAAAATTACCTATGAAATGTTCTGCCTTTGTGCTTTGTTTTCTTTGTTTGCTCGTTACTACACCCGTAGACAGCGCTAAAGTCCCGCATCTTCACGTAATAACACTGTCTTGACTAGTGCGGTTGAATGACGCTTGTCCTAGGAGCTCTGTACCAATGTGGCGGCGCTATTGACGCATGCTCAGGGTCCCTATGCGATATCTAGTGTATATATCTATGCTTGGACAACACTGGAATACATCATATCCGGTCGGCAGGTTGCATGCGGTTTAGTTCAAATATTTGAACGGATCCGCAGCTCAATTCGGATCCGAATTTTCCGCATACGGAGATGATCGGAACTCAACGCAGCTCCCGGACTGCTCTCCATTGGAAATGAATGACTTCTGGTCTGTCGCTTGTCGTTTGTCTTGTGCAGTGGAAAGGCGGATTTAGTAAACTATCAATGTAACTACAGTTGAGTCAAGAAGTGAGATGCTAATGGTCTAATCTGATTCAATGATTTATGCTAAGCTACGCTAAAAGTGCCAAGATGGGCTGATTGGATTTAAAAGTGGTAAAACTCAACTGTTTACCTCTAGGTGACTTGTAAAATGAGCACATTTCCAAAAAAAAATTATAAATGATTTATATACAATAAAGCATACCATGCATCTTATTGCTCTCCTGAAACTCATCTTTATCTGGGTCTACATCTGGGCTGCCAAACATTGCAATGTTGTCTTCCAGATACCAGCTTTCATTCTCATCCATCACAGAAAACAGCAGAAAAAACTCGTGCTGAATTTTCTCTGCATGCTGAAGAGAGAGACACAGAAAAATGGACAAACATCACCCACAAGATACGAAGGCCATTATGCTCACTTCCTTACAGAATGTGCAACCACATGTTCAAATCATTCGGGAAATATGTGAAACAAATGTGACCATGTGGGAACACAGGAGCTTCACGTGAAGATCAAGAGTCAAACCATGTTTCCCGTTTCACAAGAGATATAATACACATTCCACATATCAGGCATACTTTGGCGTCCACTTATTTTTAAAGCATTAGAACAAATCATTTTGTTGTGATAGCTTTTAAATTGAACTAATATTGAACATTGAATTATTTTAGTACTAAAAAAGTTCATTTTAAACTCAATCATAATAACTCTGAACGATCTTTTTTGCAATCCCTGCTGAAAAATCCAGCTTAAACCAGCCTAGGCTGGTTGGCTGGTTTTAGCTGGTCTACTAGGCTGGTTTTAGAGGGGTTTTGGCCATTTCCAGGCTGGTTTCCGGCCATTTCCAGCCTGGTCTTAGCTGGTCAGGCTGGGAGATGACCAGTTAAAACCAGCTTGACCAGCCTAGCCAGGCTGGGAGCCCAGCCTAAACCAGCTATGTCCAGCCTAAACCAGGCTGGAAATGGCTGGAAACCAGCCTGGAAATGGCCAAAACCCCTCTAAAACCAGCCTGGTCGACCAGCTAAAACTAGCCAACCAGCCTAGGCTGGTTTAAGCTGGATTTTTCAGCAGGGTTATTAAAATAATATTTGAGTCAATTTTTAAACAACATTTAATGACCAAATCTGCTGTGAGTATTATTTGCTGTTCATATTAATGCTATAAACAACTCCGACTTCTCATTATTTACACAAACAGTGCAAAGTGCATTATTCAAACAGTCAAAACTGAAACTACTGTAAATATTTATTAATTTTTTTTCTTTTATCGATAGCAACAAACCAAGAGTGTCAAATCCAGGTTGAATCTTCCAGACTCCAAATCAGTGACTGCTTGGTTTAAGCTAGTTCTGAAAACCTGTTATCATGAAAATGATCATATTATCAGGTCATACATATCAAATCTTAATTTATTGAATTTAACAAACACTCTTTTGCTGATAAATTGTACAAAATAGAAAAACACACACTTCTCAATACTAAAAACTCTTTTGCAAACTGTTGATCACTTTTTATTGTTTTGGCACAGCATGAATTCGTGGCAACTTTTTATTTTAATTAAAAATGTTCTTTATTACAACAAAACGACAGTCAAAACACTGTTTAAGAGGGCCAGATTGCAAACGTAACATAATACAGGTTTTAATTTTCTACAGTAGTATTTTATCAAGAAACTGTTATACAATAACTTGCCTAATTACCCTAACCTGTCTAGTTAACCTAATTAATAATAATAATAATAATTTTTATTTATATAGCGCCTTTCCAGAGCTCAAGGACACTTTACAAGTAATGCATCAAAAAGATAAACAAACATACATGAGGTCAAGTATAACAAACTTGAATAACACAAACAAGACCTAAGAGACATATGAGCAGGATAGTGGTGGATCAGATTAAGTGGTCAGTTTGGTAGATCAGATGCAAAGCATTCGGAAAATAAGTGAGTCTTAAGTAAGGATTTGAATTCAAAGATATTATTAGCAGAGCGGAGTGAGTGTGGTAGAGAGTTCCAGAGTTTGGGTGCAATAACACTAAATGATCTGCCCCCCATTGAAGAGAGGCGATACCGAGGGACAGCAAGAAGGCCAGAGTCAGCAGACCGTAAAGAGCGAGTTGGGGTGTAGGGGACAAGCATGTTGCAGAGATAGGAGGGTGCAAGGTTATTTATGGATCTAAATGCAAGGAGGAGAATTTTGAATTTTATCCGGTATGCAACCGGGAGCCAATGAAGATTATACAAGATTGGGGTTATGTGAGCCGAACGTTTGGTATGAGTGAGTATTCTAGCTGCAGAGTTTTGAATATACTGTAATCTAGAGATGAGGTTAGCAGGCAGGCCAATGAAAAGAGCATTACAGTAGTCGATGCGTGAGGAGACAAATGCATGGATGACAGTCTCAGCATCCTTGCTACTGATGAAGGGACGCAGTTGTGAAATGAGACGTAAGTGAAAGAATGCAGATTTAGTGACAGATTTAATGTGTGACTGAAAAGAGAGTGTGGAGTCAAAGATTACACCTAGATTTTTTACAGAAGTAGATGTATTAAGCCTTTAAATGTCACTTTAAGCTGTATAGAAGTGTCTTCCAAAATTTCTATTAAAATATTATTTACTGTCATCATGGCAAAGAGAAAATAAATCAGTTATTAGAGATGAGTTATTAAAATTATTATGATTAGAAATGTGCTGAAAAATCTGCTCTCAGTTAAACAGAAATTTGGGAAAAAGTAAACAAGCTGTCTAAAAATTTAGGGGGGTACTAATTTTGGTTTCAACTATATATACAAAATCATTCAATTTAGAATAACTTCAATCAGATTAAAATATTGACACAAACAGCATCATGTCTGGTTCACTCTGGGACATAATATTATGCTATAAACAGTAGATTATCCTGTGTAGGTGTGCTTGTTTTACAGCAGACAACACTGCAAGTTGTTTTGGAGAACTGTGTGAAACAGTTATGCAAAGTCAGCAAAGTATTGAGAAAGTTGTCTTAGACTGTATCTGAAAGCACCCTCTATACCAGGGGTCTCAAACTCAATTTACCTGGGGGCCGCAGGAGGCAAAGTCTGGGTGAGGCTGGGCCGCATAAGGGATTTCACAAAAAAAAGTCCTCAAATGTCATTATTAACAGTTTTAATTATTTCTTCTGAACATGAAGTGTCCTGAACATTAATAGAACATTGAGTGAAGATTATGAACGGTTCTTCTGAACATGGCATCTTTTGCCTACTTCTTGCTGCCAGAGACTTGACAGCGCTTCTTCTCACAAATCTGAACCACATTTGGCTTTAGAGCGGAAGCAGTTGAGACCCTCAGTATGGCTTGAAGATGATCATCATTAAGTCTAGACCTGTACTTTGATTTATTGAAGTCCTAGGGAAAAAAGTGGGGGAACTCACTCAAAACTTCCATTACCTCACCTAAAAAAAGGCGTATATATGTATAAATTAAACACCCCCACCCCACTCCAGTCACATCAGTCTGTACCAGTCTGTATCTACCTATAATATCAATATATATAAGATGCAGGGCAGGCACGTGCACACATAGGGCTCAACCTGTGCAGAGCACATGCCCTTTTTAGTCTTGCATAGAAAGTGCCCTTCCAAAATGATCAAAAGTGCCCCCGTGACGCGACGCACCCTCGGTCCCGCCCTTCAGTAGGCGCGCGATAACACCGCTCTTGAGTATGCGAGTCAGAGTACAGCAGTCGGCGCGGGCCACAAAATATTGCACTGAGGGCCACAAATGGCCCGCGGGCCGCGAGTTTGAGACCCCTGCTCTATACCCTCACTGCAAAAACGTCCTAGTTTCTAGTCCAAATATCCAAAAATTCTGAAATCAAGAAGCATTTTCTAGACAAGTAAAACATGTAGTCTTGTGTTCAGAAATAATGAGTGAAGTGTGTGTTTTTTTTTTTTGAAGAAGAAGTTAAGTGGGTTTATTCTTAAAACAAGCAAAATAATCTCTTGGCATGTGATGTGATTTCAGATACACCCCCCCCCTAGTGATTCTAAAAGAATAACTGTGAGTCAATGTTTGTACATTATTTGTGGAATGTGCCATATTGTCTGTATTGTTACCTGATGTCCACTTCGATCAAGAACACCTTTCTTGCACACTTGTATTGGCCCAAATAAACCAGAGTTAGTGTCACGAACAGGATCAACAGCGGAATAATACAAGTATGAAATACAAGGAGGATCATCCGCTGAGGGCCCTTCAATCACTCTCCAGCGATAGGTGAATTTTTGACCAGGGCCTACAGGAGCTTTCTGAGACCCTGTGGAGGAGGGAGGAAATAAATATGCTCATGGTAAATATATAGATTTTCAATATTTCAGCCAAATGTTTTGCAAAGTGTGTATAATTACACTACTCGTTGTCAGATTTACAAACAGATTGTGACAGCAAAAACCAATATTTTGTTGTTATTTACAAAAAAAGGCTAGAAATTACATTATATTATACAACATATCTTAAATGAAATATATATATTCTAATATATCTGACTATATATATATATATATATATATATATATATATACACACACACACACACACACACACACACACAGTTGAAGTCAGATTTATTAGCCCCACTTTGAATCTTTGTTTCTTTTTTAAAATATTTTCCAAATGATGTTTAACAGAGCAAGGAAATTTTCACAGTATGTCTGATAATATTTTTTCTTCTGGAGAACGTCTTATTTGTTTTATTTCGGCTAGAATAAAAGCAGATTTAATTTTTCAAGCCATTTTAAGGACAACATTATTAGCTATAAGTCCCTTTAAGCTGTATATTTTTTCAATAGTCTACAAAACAAACCATCATTATACAATGACTTGCCTAATTACTCTAACTTTACCCTAATTAACCCAGTGAAGCCTTTAAATGTCACTTTAAGCTGTATAGAAGTGTCTTTAAAATATCTAATTAAATATTATTTACTGTCATCATGGCAAAGAGAAAATAAATCAGTTATTAGAGATAAGTTAATAAAACTATTATGATTAGAAATGTGTTGAACAAAAATCTTCTCTCCATAAACAGAAATTGGGAGAAAAAATAAACAGGGGGGCGAATAATTCTGACTTCAGCTGTATAAATCAAATTCTCAACAACAACATCAGGCAGTCTGCAGAGAAACCTGGTCATGGGCAACAGTGAACATTTCAGCATGACAATTACTCCAAATACACAGCAAAACAACGGCTAGCAGACAAAAACATTAACGTTTTGCAGTGGCCCAGCCAGAGTCCTGGCCTAAATCCAATTGAGAATCTGCAGAGGGAGCTAAAGATCAGCATTTAATTGCAAATAAAAGCTTTTCTATTGATTGATGAGAAGGGTATGACTAATTTTGGGCACGTCAATTTTTGTTCAAATGTAAATAAAAGCAAAGAAATATGTTTTTTTCCACGATGATGCCTCTTGTTCATCGTCTTATTATAAAAAAGCGTCATTTCCAGTCAAAAGAAAAACTTGCTGGTTGATTAAAAGTAACTTTAAGTCAGGCTTGACTGTAAATACAGTTGAAGTCAGAATTATTCGCCCCCCTGAATTATTAGACTGCTTGTTTATTTTTTCCCCAATTTCTGTTTAACGGAGAGAAGATTTTTATTAACATACTTCTAAACATAATAGTTTTGATAACTCATTTCTAATAACTGATTTATTTTATCTTTGCCATGATGACAGTAAATAATATTTGACTAGATATTCTTCAAGACACTTCTATACAGCTTAAAGTGACATTTAAAGGCTTAACTAGGCTAATTAGGTGAACTAGGCAGGTTAGGATAATTAGGCAAGTCATTGTATAACGATGGTTTGTTCTGTAGACTATCGAGAAAAAATATAGCTTAAAGGGGCTAATAATTTTGTCCCTAAAATAGTGTTTAAAAAATTAAAAACGGCTTTTATTCTAGCCGAAACAAAACAAATAAGACTTTCTCCAAGAGAAAAAATATTATCAGACATACTGTGAAAATTTACTTGCTCTGTTAAACATCATCTGGAAAATATTTTAAAAAGAAGAAAAAAAAATTCTGACTTCAACTGTATATCTTAACCTATTTTTAGCAGATTACACACAGCATCAACATCATCAGCAGCTCTGCTTGTTTGTGACCTAACTAGTGCTGGCTTCTGGACACACAGGACTCACCATCCGCATACATTGCTCCTTCATAGACCTTCTCATAATGCAGACCGTGTGGCTGAATGCTGTAGTTCCGTCTAGCTTTGTTGAGGAATGTGACAATGATAACATCACCAGTCTCAGCTCTGATGACCGGACCTGTGGAGGGGTAATAGCAGCTGTAAAACATTATTACTACAACTCTTACTCCAAACAATCCATTAGAGCATATTTTGTTTTGTTGTTAGCTCTTGATTATTAATCAAAATAAAAATCTTCAATAAATACTACAAAATTAAAGGGTTAGTTCACCCCAAATTAAAAATGTACTCACTATTTATTCTCCCGCAAGTAGCTCCCTCATTTACAAGTTTCTTTTTTTAGTTAAATACAAAAGAAGATATTTCTAAAAATGTTGTAGCCACTAACATTCATAGTAGTATCTATGGATGTTAGTATCTTCTTTTGTTTAGAGAATAAAGACACTCAAACAGGTTTAAATATAAATTAAACCTGAAATTTTTTATTATATATTTAATTAAATTAAAATATATATTTAATTAATATATTATATTATTATATTTTATTTATATATTTAATTAAATTTTTAATATAGGTTTAAATATAAATTATACAATTTATTAATATTAATAAATTAATATTATATTAATATTAATATATTACTTATATTAATACATATTAATATTTATTAATATTTTATAAATATAAATAAAATTATCACTGAGAAATACTTCACAATAAAGTCACAATTTCCATTTGATTCCAATTTTATACAACACCGAACGCATAGCAGCGTTTAGAAACAAATAAGGAAAAAAATGTGAAATTTTTACCCAGAATTCCAAGATGCTCATCTGAGCCAACAATATGTGTTTTGCTAGTGAAGGTTTGATCAGTGTATTGAACGTATCTGGCCTTCATGTATTTTCCACCCAGTTTACCACCCTCTTTACTGAAGAACGGTTCAGAGTCACTGCAGGCAAAGAAAGACAAGTACTTGTAAACACTAACTCATTGACAACATTAGCACATATTATATAAAAATAAAGGTTGCGCTTAGATACAAACAAGAGCCAATGCCAATAAATAAATTCATGTTTGACTTGTACTCAAACTGTAAACATGATATTAAAAGCGCAGTATGTGCATTTCGCCACTAGAGGGTGTGTATTAGCAACAAACAAATGTGTATCTTAATGACTCTATTTTTAAGATCCATGCGCAAAGTGCAAAGCGCAGGGCGCAAATTAGGTTTAATTTAATGATTTACACAGTCATACATTAATAAGTGTGTTGCCAGATCTGGGTTGTTACCTCTCTGGTTTAGTGAGGGTAACATTCTCCATATAGTTCATCCCTGAAGGGGCATAATCCCACATCATCTCCTCAGCAGCGATGTAGAAATGTCTCTCAGTGCCAGGCACGTTAGGTGGAGCCGCTGGAGACCCACAGTCCGAGACTTCATAGAAAGCCTGCATTCCTGCTGCTCACGGGACCATTAAAGAGAGAGAGAGAGAGAGAGAGAGAGAGAGAGAGAGAGCTTCAGCAATCCTGGAAATAAATTCTGCTGGTTTGCATAAACAGTGCTCAGCATAAATTAGTAAATAAACATTGAAAATGAACATTTTGATCAATTTATCAGTGAATATTGACAATTTTCTGGCGCATTTCAACATAACAGCTTTATTCATTCATTCATTTTCCTTCAACTTAGTGCCCTATTAATCAGGGTCGCCACAGAGTAATGAACCAGCAACTTATCCAACATGTTTTTTTAAGGAACTGTTGCCCTTCCAGCTGCAACCCAGTACTGGGAAACACCCATACTCTCTCACATTCACACTCATACATTACAGCCAGTTTAGTTCATCAATTCCCCTAAAGCGCATGTGTTAAGACTGTAGGGGAAACCAGAGCACCTGGAGGAAACCCACGCCAACACGGGGTTTCACTTAAGAAATCACACTATGTAGGAATCAAGCCCAACCAAGCACAAACAATGTTATCTATTTATCTTCAAATCATAATATCACACACTCTCGCAGTTCAACACTAGATTAAAGACCTATCTTTTTAGTAAAGCATACACTCAGTGCTTAGCGGTATGATACATGAATGTGCTCCACACAGGTTTCTGCATCTCGTTTATATACACTATAAACAGCAGCTATGCTAATTACTCTCTTTATTCTCTATTTCCACCTGGGGAATCTCATCCCGAGGTCCCCAGAGACTATGCAGCGCCACTGATTCGATTCAAGACCAGCGACGAGATGATCCCAAGGTTTCCATGATCCTGGACCAGGCTGTATCCTGAGCCACTACTCTGGTGGTAATGGAGTGAGCATGAGACTAATTCCTGTGACTTTCCGGGGACAGACGAGTCTTCGCTGAGGTCCAGTTTCTCCAGTGCCTAGACTGCAGCTCTGCACAGGACGTTTGGCCATTGGAGAAATGGTCATGCCCAATTGAGCCTGGCTTCTCCCAAGGTTTTTTAATTCTTCACTTTCGTCAATTGGTGAAGTGTTTTCCTCGCTGCTGTCGCCGCTGGTTTGCATAGTTCGGGATCTCTAGAGCTGTGCATCAATGGATTTACTCTTCAGTGTTTGGACTCTCAGTAGTGATTATTAAACCACAATGAACTGAGCTAAACTGAACTGAACTTAGGGTGCTTCCACACCTGTGAATCGATTCAGTTGTTCCGAAACAGAGATTACAAATGTTACAGTGTTGCTCTTTGCTCTTGGAGTGGTTCGCTTTCACACTGTAAAGTTTCTAATCGGACTAAAAGAGCTAAAACAAGTCACGTGCGAGTAAACTCTCCTCACATTGGTCAGTGTCAGGGTTTATTTTGCAGCGTCCCGCTCAGCTGTCAGGAGAGGTGGTGGTTTGGTGGTGATTGACAGGGTGCGCGCACGCGACATGTCTGAGGAGAGATGCGGTGGGGAGGGGTGAGAAGGGAGCGCGACGATGCCTATTTGAGGACCGGTAGGGAGACGCGAGATTACCGGGAGATCATCACTCGTTTGCGGGCATCCGGAGACTCGCGAAACTTCCCGCCCTGCTCATAATTCTCTCTTCATATAGCCGTAAGCCTATTACATATCCATAAAACACTGTGATATAACCACGCTCGGATCGGATCGCTTTCTCACTGCAATCGAACCGCTCCAGGGATCATTTCAATCGAGCCGAGACCACCTCATTCAAGCGATCTCGGAGCGATTACTTTGGCGTGGAACAGAGCGCGATTGCCCTGTTCACATATGCCAATCGAACCGCGCTAACTGGGCAAACGAGACACGTTCTGAAACAAAAGTGTAGGTGTGAAAGCACCCTTAAACTCTGAAAACTGAACTACACTGTTTCAATTTACTATGATCTTCTAAGTAAGGCTGCTGTGACACAATGTACATTGTAAAAGCGCAATACAAATAAAGCTGAATTGAATTGAACATATAAACATGTAAGCATCATAGCAAAACAAAAGGTACTCTTACACAGAATTAACAGAACAAAACAATGCTTTTCTATTTCTATTTTCTACTTTTCTATTAGTATTAAAATAAATGGTGGGTTTTTATCTTGTCCTTGTCCAAATGTAGAAAAATTCTTAAATCAAGAAGCATTTTTTGGAGAACTAAAAATAATTAGCTGCATCCGAAACCGCATACTTCCATACTATAAAGTACGCTAAAATCAGTATGCGAGCCGAGTAGTATGTCCGAATTCATAGAATTCGAAAATCAGTATGCGAGAAGTACCCGGATGACTTACTACTTCCGGCTAGATTCTGGAGTGCGCATTCCATGCACGCTGCGCTATCCCATAATGCCCCATTAGAGAATTCATAAATGAAAGTGAGGCGACGCAACTGACGCAGGTAGGTCACATGACCATGACAAAATGTCGGATGTAGTCCGTCCAAATTCCATTCATACTTTTCACATTCATACTGTATAGAACGTACTTTTCTAACAGCCGAGTAGTACGTTTAAATTCAAATGCAGCACCTACTGAGTAGTAGGCGGTTTCGGACGCAGCCATAGTCTTGTTTTCAAAAATAATAAGTCGAGATTAAGTGAGTTTTTCTTTATAACAAGCAAAATAATCTGCTAATGGGGTAAGCAAGAGAAAACAAGATTATTTTGCATACCCCATTGGCAGATTGCACTTATTTTTGACTCGTTATCTGAAAAACAACACCACGTGCTTTGTTTGTCTAGAAAATGCTTCTTGATTTAGGAATGTTTAGATATTTGAAGACACAAACTTGTCTAGTATATAAGTGAAGCATTTTTGCAAAAGATGGCAGAAGTAAAATAGAGCCGTTTGTACCTTGTACATGATCGTTGACTTGACAGCTTAACAGCCATTTTCCTTTAGTTCTCGGGATCATGGTGGCAGTGACGAAAGTGGCAGGAAACAGACTGAGTACATCTGTGCGGTGCATGCGGTCCATCAGCGTGTGCCCGTGGAAATACGCTGAATGAATGTCCACTTCATTACCAATGCCAAAGAGGTGCCAAGACACAGGACGCTTCGCACACACTTTCAGTGAAGGTAAATTACCATACACAAACCCATTGATTGCTAATAAGAGAAATAAAGATGAAAGAACAAGTTGAAAAAGTGACATTGAGAAGAAAAAAAGTTTATAATTATGAATTCATTTTCCTTTGGCTTAGCCCTTTATTTATTAGTGGTCACCACAGCGGAATGAACCACCAACAATTCCAGTTTGTGTTTAACGCAGTGGATGCCCTTCCTGTACTAGGAAACACCCATATACTTTCATTCACACACACACACACACACACACTCATACACTATGGTCAGGTTAATCCAATTCACCTATAGCGCATGTGTTTGGACTGTGGGGAACCGGAGCACCCGGAAGACACCCACACCAACTCAGGGAGAACATGCAAATTCTACAAAGGAATGCCAACAGGCCCAGCTGCACTGCAAAAAAAGCTTTTATTTCTGAGATGTTTTGTCTTGTTTCTAGTTCAAATATCTAAAAAGTCTTAAATCAAGCAGAATTTTCTAGACAAGCAAAACATATTGTCTTGTTTTAAGAAATAATATGCAAAAATTAAGTGAGTTTTTCCTTAAAACAAGCCAAATAATCTGCCAATGAGGAAAGCAAACAAATCTTATGTCAAAAGGAAAAACAAGATTATTTTGTTGACCACATTGGCAGATTATTTTGCTTGTTTTAAGAAAAAACTCACTTAATATTGGCATATTATTTCTCAAAACAAGACATAATTTTTGCTTGCCTAGAAAATGCTTCTTGATATAAGAGTTTTTAGATATTTGGACTAGAAACATGACAAAAAATCTAAGAAAGAAAAGCTTTTTTTTGCAGTGTGTGACTCGAACCTGAAACCTTCTCGCTGTGGGGCGACAGTGCTGAGCACTGAGCCACCCGTTTTATTATTAGTAACTAATTAATAAATAATAGGATTACAAAAGCATTAAAAGATGCTCACAAACATCTGCGCTGGACTTCCAGAGTGCAAATGCTTTTCTTACTTAGAGTTTTTATCTTGTTTCTAGTCCAGAAATCGAACCATACTGAAAAATGCTTTCCTAATTTAGATTATTTGTCTTCTATCTAGTCAAAATATCAAAAAATTCTTATATCAAGAAACCTTTTCTAGACAAGCTAAACATATTGTCTTGTTTTCAAAACAAATATGCCAAAATTGAGTGAGTTTTTCCTTAAAGCAAGACAAATAATCTGGCAATGGGGGAAGCAAAATAATCTTGTTTTTCCTTTTGACATAAGATTATTTTGCTTATGCTATTGGCAGATTATTTAGCTTGTTTAAAGGGAAAATTCACTTAATTTTGGCATATTATTTCTGAAAACAAGACAATATGTTTTGCTTGTCTAGAAAATGCTTCTTGATATAAGAATTTTTAGATATTTGGACTTGAAACAAGACAAACATCTAAGTAAGATTTTTTTTGTTGCAGTGCATAAAGCTTTTTCTAAACAAGCAAAACATTTTGTCTTGTTTTAAGAAATAATGTCAAAAATAAGACAATTTTTATAAAAAAAAAAAATAGGGTGAAAAAAACTTGCTTTTCCTTTTGAAATAAGTTTATTTTGTGTACCCCATTGGCCATTTTACTTGTTTTAATTCATAACTTGGGTAATTTTGACTTATTATTTCTTAAAACAAGACAAATTCTTTACTTGCAGAGTTTGTGGATATTTGAACCTAAAACAAGACAACAAATCTAAGTAAGAGAAGCCTTTTGTTTTCAATGTTAAGAAATTAAAAGGAAAACTAAACTTTTCCGAGTGCCTGTGTATACTAAGTAATAGGTACTTTCCACCAGTGTGCCAAAAACATGTGTCATCAGCTAAAAATGACTTGGAATTTCATGAGCTTACTTGATAAAACCAAGTAACTAATAGTGCAACAGCTGTAACAGCTTTAACAGCTGAAGTAACCAGACGGTTATAATGTTGATTAGAAATAGTTTAAAAGCAATTCATCACTTTTACCTTCGCTAAGCCCCGCCCTCCTTAGTTGCTGTTGCTACGCCTGTCAAGCTTTCATGCTTGGCGCATCTATGACAATGTGTATGTGCTGCTGTCAGACATTCCCAGGGATATGAATACCCAATTGTTGCGAAAAGGTGAGATGTCTGAGAAAGCCAGACAAAAAAGGACTGCAGTCTGCATTTCAGGGGTATATTTACGACTTCACGCAACCGATTAGAAAATGATTTGATCAAAATTGAAGCAAAGTTAGCCTACCTGCCTCATACGCTGGCCATTCAACAGATTAGTTCATGCACAGCAGGAGAGGTGACAATTAAAAATAATCTAATAATAACTAATTAAACCGTGATTTCTCTTTTTTAGCCAGAAAGCCTGACAGACTAGTGTTGTGCAATGAAATATAGCGTTACTAACAGAGAAAAAAACACACATGGACATGCTTCTACATCATTCATTCACAGAAGGAGCAGCCAGAAAGAGGAAATGGATGGATTTGTACTAATATTAGCATCATTGACCCATAACAACGTACAGTACTTATAACTGTCAGCATGTTTGTGTGCTTTTTATACAGTTTCTATTCTACTTTTTAGTTAAGTGGAGAAAATAAATCAATTTAAATGCAAATCAAAGGATAATTCGCAGAAATTAACCATTAGATTTTTTCTAATATTAATCCGACACCAAATAACCGGCTATAACATCCTCTTCTCCTTCTATAACATCTCCAAAAGACTGCTGAAAACATCAGCGAATTGTAGCTTTTACATGGACATGAGGGTTATAAATGACTGAAAAACAGCTGCGGGTGAAGTATATTGATCACAAGTGCTCAGATGGTGATTACATCTTGGTTTTATTGTGTTGGTAAAACATAACCTGCTTTGTATTTTTGTAGGAAACACCGTTTAGATCTGTTTAGGGTAAGAGGTGTGTGAGTTATTGCCGTCTATCACTGGATGTGTCAGGAATATCAAAAACAAAACCAACTTAACGCCACTCTTTTAGCGCCCCTCACACAGCTTGATCCATGCTGGCATTTCTCCTGTTGGGTTTTAGGTTTTGAAAAGGGAAATAATTCCACCATTCCGTCCAAACTTTTAGGATACCGGGTATCAGATTTGCACAATCCATATGCACAACACTTTGGCTTGTTTCCTTCATTAGTAACCTTGACAGACCTCCTGAGCGTAGCTATGATTGCTAAGCCACGATCGGTATGTGGCGGTTTTCGGGTGTGGCTTAGTGAAGGGTCAATTGCTACAAAGCAGTGTGAGTCACTTTAAATGAAAGTGTCTAGCAAACACACACATATAAATGGTTAAGCTAGAGCACACGGTTAGGTAACAACCCAGTAGCAAAGTGGAATTTTATGAGCTTACTTAACAAAATATATAGTTACAGTAATAGTGCGAAGCTGAAAGGGTAGACTTATCAACAGTAGACATATTAAGAAAAAAACTGATGTTAAAATGTTGATTAGAGTTTTTGTTTTGTCACTTATTTTGAATTGTTCAACTGCTACTTTGCAACATAGGTCACTTTAAATCAGGGGTGTCCAAACTCGGCCCTGGAGGTCTGGTGTCCTGGAGAGTTTAGCTCTAACCCTAATCAAACACACCTGAACCAGCTAATCAAGCTGCGGTCACACTGGAGTTTGAGCTTGCGAAATTCTGTAGTATGGCGCTGCGAAAGGGGGCGGGATTAAACAAGATGATTAGACATTTAAAAAAGCGAGCGATTGGTCATTATTTAAAATTTCTGTCCAGTGGTCATGTTTTGATCTTCGATTGGTCTCACGAAATCATGTGATGCGATTTCGTAGGTCAGAGTTCACCAAGCTTGAACTTTCCAATGCAGCGAACTACGAAACTTGTCGCACAAGCTTGCGTTTCCGGTCTGACGCTTTCACGTGCATATAAATGGAAGTCAATGGAGAGAAAAGTGCAGTGTGAGCACAGCTTTACTAGATATACTAGAAACTTCCTGGCAGGTGTGTCAAAGCAAGTTGGATCTAAACTCAGCAGGACACCGGCCCTCCAGGACTGAGGCCCCATATACACTAGCGCGTTTTAGTTTTAAAACGGCGTTTTAGATCAAAAACGATACGCGTCGACACTAGCGTTTTACCTAGCGTCTCTGAACATATCTCCGTCCACACTACGCCACCAAAAACGTGTATCACGTGACCATTCGCGCACTCTGGGCAAGCTCGTTTTAGTATAAACAGAAAGCATGCGTCTCGCTCGGCATTTTGTTATTGTTAGTCAACAAACGCCGGTTGAACATTAAACGCAAAGGCAAAGAAAGCAAGAGAGGTATTTTTGTGGACAGACGACGAGGTCGAGTTGTTACTAAACGTAACAAATGAATAACTGCACAATGCCGCCTAAAACAGACAATAGTGCAAACAACGCTCCCATTTCTGTGCCCATGTTGTTGTTTACAGTACTGTCTTCCGGTAGCGTTAAAACAATGTGTTATAGTCATGTGATAGGGGCTTGACGAATAAGGGAAGGATAGGCAATGACACAAAAGCCCCAATCAGGTAGCGAATCTCAGCAGTCCCGCCTCCGTTTTCAGATGTCTCCGTTTTTGCTCATCCACACTGAGACGGAGCAGCAGCGTTTTGGAATGAAAACATCCTCTCCAGCGTTTTCAAAACGCTCCGTTTTCGGCGCTCGAGAACTTCGGCGTAGTGTGGACGGATGGCGTAACCGTAGCAAAACTTATGCGTTTTAAAACGAAAACGCATTAGTGTAAACGGGGCCTGAGTTCGCACACCCCTGCTTTAAATTAAAGTGTCAGGCAAACACACACAAATAAACGATTAAGCTACTTTAGAACACACAGTAAAGTAACAACCCAGTAATAATGCATACAAAAGGTGAAAGTTTAGCCTTGAGACTTACAATGCATAAGGTTGGACTCTCTGAACTCCTCGTCTGCGTCTTCCATAAGTGTTTTTGTGTCTTCCGGGTTAGAGCAGAACTTTTCGATATTCTCCTCCAAGTACCAGCTTAAGTTCTCATCAACCACACTGAACATCACGATGAAGTCTTCATCCACATCAGAGCGCTTATTACTGGAGTTGAGAGTGCCTAAGACAAACATAAAGAAATATATACATATATATAAATAATTAATGAGATTGTGGCGAGGGGGTGTGGCCGAGAGCCGTGGGAACGAAATGAGGCCGCGTGTAAGTGGACGCACCTGTGTTGCGCACCGGTCTCGAATCCCACGGAAGGAGCTCTGGACTATAAGAGGAGGAACGATGGCAGAGGAAGCCGAGAGAGGACCGGGCCCGGACATATTTTACTTTTGTTATCAGTTTGTTTTGGTTTAGATGGCAGTCTCCGTGAGGAGCTGCCGTTCATGTTATAAATAAATATTTTAAAACTGCGTCGGTTCTCCGCCTCCTTCTTCCAGGCGGCCAAAGGGCCGTGAACTTCATTACAGAGATATATAAATAAATAAACACAGGGCAGCATGTTGGCGCAGTGGGCAGCACAATCGCCTCACAGTAAGAAGGTCTGAGTCCAGCTGTAACCGATGCGTGGCCTGGACATGGCTTTAGTTCTGAGTCCATTCAGTATGATTCTGCCGATCCCGGCATCTGTTACTACATGTACAAGTGTCTCAATGATCAAGGCTTTTGAATTAAATGTTTTGTTCTACAATGAGCTTGGTTAGCCTACCATTGACTGGACGGTTCTAGCGGTAGTGCCGGATTAAGGGACTGTCCTGGAAAAATTGGTACATCTGATCACCCTTATGGGTGACTAAAACAGGGCTATTTAATATTCTGACTGAGCTTCAGTCACTCTGAGCTCCAGTTTAACAGCGGGGTCACAGTTTTTGAACAGCAGCGAACCGAAAGGAATACTTCACATTATCAACGAGAGAAAGCATAATGCAAAGAGGCGTTTCCCGTGTCATTATTAATTCTTTAGCCAATCAAGGGCACCGTTCTTCAGTGGGCCCTGGGGCTTCAGCTCTACCTAGCCCTCACGTTAATCCGGCCCTTTGTGCAGACTGTATATTCTGTCCCCCAACCCTTATTGAAACACTGTGTACTTTAACATTTTCACAATTCTTAATGCTATATCATTCATTTTCTTGTCGGCTTAGTCCCTTTATTAATCCGGGGTCGCCACAGCGGAATGAACCGCCAACTTATCCAGCACGTTTTTACGCAGCGGATGCCCTTCCAGCCGCAACCCATCTCTGGGAAACATCCACACACATTCACACACACACTCATACACTACGGACAATTTAGCCTACCCAATTCACCTGTACCGCATGTCTTTGGACTATGGGGGAAACCGGAGCACCCAGAGGAAACCCACGCGAAGGCAGAGAGAACATGCAAACTCCACACAGAAATGCCAACTGAGCCAAGGTTTGACCCAGCGACCTTCTTGCTGTGAGGCGACAGCACTACCTACTGCGCCACTGCCTCGCCCATGTTCCCTCATATCCTGAAAAATGACTTGTATTACTATAACTGGGGGGCACATTTGGTCCCCACAGCGTCCTGAATACAAGGTACACACAGACACAAAGAGTTCAATCTGGATCTTAAATCTGATTGGATGACAGCCTTTTCCAGCTGTGTGATATTCTCAACTGGCTCATTGAAAATATGTTCCCAGGGCTACATTTTTGAGAACTGACAAATATGTACACTGGACTATGTTGCCTTGCAGTTTTTGTTTTGTCAGATCCGCTAGTGGGCATTTTTGACCGTCTAATATTTAACTGGGGCATGATTTCTCATGGGGCGACACGGTAGTGTAGTGGGTAGCACAATCACCTCACAGCAAGAAGGTCACTGGTTTGAGCCTCGACTGGGCCAGCTGGCATTTCTGTGTGGAGTTAGCATGTTCTCCCATGTTGGTGTGGGTTTCTTTCGGGTGCTTCAGTTTCACAAGTCACATGCGCTATAGGTAGGGGTGTCACGATTTAGATTTTTAATCGGAATCGATCAAAATTTCTGCTCAATTTAGATTATCGAATCAAAAAATAGAATCGTCGATGCTGCCACGCCCCCATGTCACGTCAGCTTGGCTTGCCAAGCGGGAAAAAATACAGGCTTGTTGAAGTGCTTGTTAAACTGCAGACGCAGGAGACCCGTCGACAGAGCTTAAACCCTCTCCTCTTTCAATGAAGTCGCCGGTGTGTAAGCATTTTGGATTTCCAGTGAGTTATATTGACAACGTTCGTGTTGTCGACAAAAAAACACAGTTTTGCAAGCTCTGCTATGTACGTATTACGTACGGTTCGTCCGATAGACAACACCGGCATCACGATCCTCCGCCAGCCCCCGTTGCAAATCCGCTCGCGAAAAGTACACATGTTTACACTGTCTTTGTTTTTAAATGGCATTTTTGAACGACAACGATTTGACATCCACAGTGGCGTGTAGCATTTCTGAGCAGCCCTCCTTCCTCTCTACCTCTGAAAATGCACATCACGTGACCACACACACACAGCCATGCGCTCGAGACAGCAGGTCCAGGCAGTCAGAGGACTGCTTCAATCTTTCACTCACTTGTACTTCGTCATTTTAGCGAACAGCTCAGATACTGTTGGCTGGTTCCTGTTGGTTGTGCGTCTTTTTTACTGACGCCATTATAACGACACAGATCACTGCCTATTCACGAGTCCCGCAGAAAAAGTGATTGACAGGTGGTAATTATGTGTGTATCTTGCCTTTATTCATTTACTATATGATTTGTTTATGGGTAAAACAAAGACCATGCAGGTCAGGTAGTTTAAACGGTAGGCTACAAATAATTAATTGGTCATTAATTAATTAATTATTCATAATTGAAAATCGAATCGTGCCTTTAGAATCGAAAATTTAATCGAATCGAGGATTTGGAGGATCGTGACACCCTTAGCTATAGGGGAATTGAATGAGCTAAATTGGCCGTAGTGTGTGTGTGTGTGATTAAGTGTGTGCGGGTGTTTCCCAGTGATGTTTTGCAGCTAGAAGGGCATCCGCTGCGTAACACATATGCTGGATAAACTGGTGGTTCATTCTGCTGTGGTGACCCTAGATTAATAAAGGGAATAAGCCCAAAAGAAAACGGTCGAATGAAAGTTTTCTCATCCATGCCATTTTCTTGTAAATCCACCAGAGGCCGCTGTATATGTCTGCGAATGTTAACGTCTTTCTCTCTCTTGTGTGTTAAAGAAGTCGGCTTGTCATTGTGCATATAATATACCAGTTTGATATGGACTGACCAACACGCCCCCTACCCTAAACACAACCCATCGTGTTTTCAAAAGCACTACTAGAAGAGAAATGCCATGTGTTTCAACCGTGACCTCATGTGATTTTTTTGGGGTTTTATTCAACCTAGCTGTGGATCAGTCCTTTGCCAGGCTCGAACCCTGGTCCTACTCCATAAACAGAAAACCCACCCCCTCCTCCTTACTTTAGCACTTAATTCTCTGAGCACTAAAGTTCCTCTGTATAATCAGCACTTGTTGTGTGTATTGCCCCTTTTTGTTGAATCTTTGAATGCCTCATCAATTGTAAGCCGCTTTGGACCAAATGACTACATGTAAATGTAGACCAGGGCCCGGTTTTTCAAAAGTAATCCACTAGGATTTTGGATAAGGGATTGGATTAAATCTTGAAAATGGGTTTTTCAAAAGAAAAAACGGATTACGTAATCGGATCAGATCACGTAATCCAATCTTGGTTTTGATCCGGATCAAACCTTTAGTTTGGGTTTTTCAGACTTTTTTTTGTAGGATCTGGATCACTTGGATCCAAAAAACCTGGTTTAAATTAAAAATACGAGATATACTATTTATTCATAAGGTTTTCATTTTATTTGTTCATCTGTCAGGCTATAGTGAGTATAGGCTTTAATGTATTCAGCCTTTCAGTATAGGCCTACAGCAAAGTAGAAAGAGTTTGGCCTCATAAAATAATCCCACACACAGCTGTCAAAACTGACCAAAAACAATACATTTTATTCTGTCACTAAATGATATATATATTCATCACAATGGAAAATATTTTTCTTTTTAGAATATTTATTAGTGATGCATGCAATGATAACAGAATAACAAAAAAAATGCAAAGAATGGCAATCTATGATTTTTGAAATCACTTTCAACAATTGCAAAAAGAGACTGAAAGGGCAGAAGCACAGCTTCGCCTGGCAGAGGAACAATTGACTCTGACCAAACTGCAGCAAACCAAGGCCAATAACTTGAGATCCACCTCCTAAAGGCTACGCTCGGACAAGCTTCTCTCTCCACATCAGTTGAGGAAGTCTGAAATTATTGTGGAGTTTTTGACATTAAGTCTTTTTTTATTTACATCTATATTTGAAACTTATTATAAATATCCCTAATGTACAGTGTTGTAGGTCTCAGATGAGTGGTCTGCTTAAAAAGAGGATGGGGTGGGGTTTTTCTTGTTTTTATTATTATTTATTTTTATTATTATTTGAATAATTATTAAATTTTCTTAGTTTTCATTTCAAATAAAAATAAAGTTATATTGACCCCACGCTGGCTATTCTACTTGTCGCTCTTTACATATCTATAGTTCTACATTGTGATGTCCTATGCTGTTTGAGCACTGGTTATCCAGATTTAGTGATTCTGAAAAGTTCCTATCCGGATCAGATTGATCCAATCCAATGTTGCTTTGAAAAACTGGCTCAAAAAGTAAGCTGGATTACATGATCACGGATCGCAAAAACAGGATTACTAAATCTGGATCATTTTTATCCGGATTAAACCTTTTGAAAAACCGGGCCCAGGAGCTCTCATTAGAGTTTGACAAATAGTCTACAACAACTTATGCTGCGAAACTAGTATACATTAACTAGTATCAGTCTACCTGCAGAAATGAATCATTTGAAAACTCAAATAGGTTTTTATGTGTGTGTGTGTGTGTGTGTATGTGTGTGTACTGTACCTTTCTTGCAGGTGAGTAAAGCTCCTATAAGGCCTGATGCGATGTCTTTAGGTGCGTCTCCATGTGAATGGTAAACCCAGGTGAGACAGCTGGCATCTGCTTCAGTAGGAGCGTACTCTGGTTTTACCTCCCAGGTGTATGTGTAGCTCTCACCTGGAGCCACCGCATCATCTTTCTTATCACGACCGGAGGTGCCATCTGGATACAGTGCTCCTGAAATACAGAGATATCAGTATATATCTCTGCACCACCCTGGAGATTGTGATATCACCAGATTTGTCATGACCCAAAGAATCTATAGAATTTATGAACATTGTTTTAATGTCTGGTATTGGTTTAAACCAGTATGCTCAGTGAAATCTTTTGTACTAAGTTTTATTTTTCTAGCTCAAATGGCTTAAAGGTTATACCAATGTTATATCAAGTTTAAATGTTGAATTTTTGGTCTGCTGGTGCGATAGAGCTAGTTTTAAAGACTTCAGATTTGGTCAATTGACTTCTTTTGAACACCATTACAGTAGTGCCAAATTTCTTTATTTTTCTATCGCTCATATGGCTGACTCCAGTTCAGGAAGAAGAAGAAAAATCCTATGGTTACAATAGGGGCCTTTGGCACCTTTGTTGCTTGGCCACAAATGAGCTTTTAGCACCCACAGTATCTAACACCAGTAAACATAGATTGTTTCTGGACATCAAACTCAAAAGTGTAGCTTGAATTATGATGAAGGTGAGTTGCTTTGTTTACCCCACACAGAGAACGTCACATGAAGAGATGAACCCCACGATTGTGTTTCAATTTTGCCCAAAATTATCACCTCAAACATATTTAAATACGTTAAACGAATTTCCATGACTTTTCAAAAAATTTTGGGCTTATTTGTTTTTCCAAAACTTTTCCAGGCCTGGAAAATGCCAACATTTCATGACTTTTCTAGGTTTTCAGGACCGTATGAACCATGTATAAGGGTTATAAAGAGAAGAAAAAAAAAAAAGTTCTGAGAAAGATTTGATAATAATGTGGAGACATCAGTGAAAGTTGTGAGGTAGAAAAGAAACATCAGACAATTTGGAGTGAATGCTGTGCATTTAAGGGACAGTTCATCCAAAAATGTACATTTTCTCACTATTATCTCACCCTTTAAGAGCTTCCAAACATTTACGAGTTTGCCTTTTCACTTGAACACAAAACAATGTTTTAAAGGATGCAGAAAACATCTAACCATTGACTTCCATGTAGGAAAAACAAATACTATAAGTCAATGGTTACAGGTTTCCAACTTTTGAAATATTGTCTTTTGTGTTTGATAGAAGAAGCACAAAAAGGTCTAAAACAAGTAACGAGAGAGTAAAAATGTTCATTTTTGAGTGAACTATCCCTTTAACCAGGGCCGGAGTGGAACTCTTTTTCAGCCCTGGAGTTTCAGGCCCACCTCAGTTCACCACTGACTATATTAAAATAAGGTCATTTCCAATTCAGTTTCTAATTACACTATCACGTCTTTTTTTGAGAAAACAGCTGTTTTAGAACTTCAAATGTTCAATAACCCTTACAGTATTATATGTCCTAACAATAAAAATGAAAAAAAAAAACAATTTTACTCAGGCGAGGACCGAACCCGTGATAGCGGCGTCATAACCTAACGTGCTAACCACTTTAAAATAGATAAAAAGAGCAGAGCTGCGGTAAAATAATGAATTAGAAGGCTTTGGTCAAGTAAAAAAATTAATTATTTTTAAAAAGTGTGACTGCTGAGAGCAACAAATTCTGGAGCTAGGGACACCGGCCCTCGCGGACAAAAAACGGACTGGCCCATTAGCCAATCCGGGCCTGCCTTTAACATACAGACATTTGTCCTCACACTCCACAAAGACAAAATGTGGGAAAGTGTATTTCTCTCTTATCCCTAAAATGTAAATATTGTGTCAGTGTGAGTGAATTTTAGTCATCATGTTTGATTGTTTCTGACTGTGACTGGTACAATGGTCTCTTTCCCGCAGTAATTGCTGTAATTCTGAACACTGCATGCTAGGGTGTGTCCTATTCTGGGGTCTTCAATTCAAACAATTGCTTTGTTCCCCACAGGGCCTGAACTAACTTTCTAAATCCTTGACCCATTGCAGAAGGTTTGCCCTTATCTATTCAAATGACCCCTTAGTTCCCCACAGGGCATGACCTTTGACCTCAGATCTAGCATTCCACTCTATGCAAACTCCTATTGTTTATTTCCAACACCTAGAGCTAAGGCACCAGCTTTTCTTCAACTCGCACTCACAATATGCTATCCAAACCGTGCCCAGGCACGTTTCCCACTTTGTTTGAGGAGTGTGAGTGCTCTGAATCGGGCTCAGGAGCGTTTGTTCACGTATTGCATGTAAACCTTGCACGCTTCGTAATACTCACTACTCTTGAGTGCTTTTAAAAGGTCTTCCTTTGAGTAATTTTACCACAGATACTTCTACTCGACTTGCACTACATTTTGAGGCATGTGATGGCACTTTTATCTGAACAAGATTATACAACCAGTACTCACCACTGTATATTTTTTTAATGTGATATATGTGACGACGTTGAATGTATTCGTGTTGAATGTTTTTTCTGTGATGTGTGTAATGTAAACGCTGATGTGGTTGTGTGGTGAAGCCAAAGATAAATTTCCACTTGTGGACAATAAAGAAAGTTAAAAAAAAAAAAAAAAAAAAAAAAAAAAAAATATATATATATATATATATATATATATATATACATATATATATATATATATATATATATATATATATATATATATATATATATATATATATATACCACCTAATGTTTTATGGACACACAAAGCAGGCCATGCAGACATATACAGTGCTAGCATCACAACCCTGACTACATGAATATGTTTACACAATAACTCCTATTCACCATTCAGAAACCTGGCCGGCACAGTCTTCATCAAGAAATAATAAGTAACTTACAGTGCTCAGCTTACATCTCATATTGAAAATTTGCATCCATTTCTCAGTGAATGTACATATTTTGGTGAATCTAAACAAAACAGATTCATCATATACATGGATATACAGTTGAAGTCAGAATTATTCGCCCCCCTGAATTATTAGACCGCTTGTTTATTTTTCCCAAATTTCTGTTTAACGGAAAGCAGATTTTTTCAACACATTTCTAATCATAATAGTTTTAATAACTCATCTCTAATAACTGTTTTATTTTCTCTTTGTCATGATGACAGTAAATAATATTTGACTAGATATTTTTCAAGACACTTCTATACAGCTTAAAGTGACATTTAAAGGCTTCACTAGGTTAATTAGGTTAACTAGGCAGGTTAGGGTATTAGGCAAGTTATTGTACAACAGTGGTTTGTTCTGTAGACTATCGAGAAAAAAAATATAGCTTAAAGGGGCTAATAATTTTGTCCCTATAATGGTGTTTAAAAAATTTATAACTGCTTTTATTCTAGCCAAAATAAAACAAATAAGACTTTTTCCAGAAGACAAAATATTATCAGACATGCTGTGAAAATTTCCTAGCTCTGTAAAACATCAATTGGAAAATATTTAAAAAAAAAAGAAAAATTTCCGAAGGGGGCTAATAATTCTGACTTCAACTGTATGTATTTTGGTCACAGAACATCTTTAGAAATAGAGAGATAATGCACTTAAATATTGATGGAAAATACAAAATTTCAACAACATTTTTATAAATATTTTACCTTAAATTTTGAACCGTTGTCATGAGTTATTTTGTTCATTGAGCTCCAGATTTGGCTTCAGTACTGACTAATCTAATGTAGATGCACAAATAAAATATTATAAAACTTCCTATAGAAAATATTCATTTAAATGAGAGATGTGTGAGGGGTGAACTCTTTCTATGCAACTCTAATATGCAACTAACTCTTTTCTTACTAATATGCAACTAATATGAAAGTCTCCACTTTCCTTACTAATATGCAACTCCCTCTCTGACTCCTCCACTAACTACAATAAAAAAATATCTAATGTTTTTCTTCTTACACTCTTTACACACCTGAAACTTGCCTACAGCACTTATTCACTGTTGCTCTTAAGTCGCTTTGGATAAAAGCGTCTGCTAAATGACTAAATGTAAATGTGAACTCATGTCTGCTGAGCACTGTAATGTAATACATGAGCTATTACAGTAGTTAATTCAGGAAGCAGATTTATGCTGTCTCATATCATTTCTGCGTGTTGCACTTTGAACTTCTGTCTCACAACGTGCATTTTGACACCTTTTCTTTTGTTGATTGTGCTGTTACTGCTTTATGGGATGTATGTCAGGGCGCTCTAAATTGATGTCATAATTCCAAGATAAACGTAGACAGCACGTTCAAGGCATAGTTCAGCCAAAAATAAAAAAGCCCTGCTAATTATCTCACAGGTCGTCCAAGATGTAGGTGACCTTTTTTTTTCAGTAGAACATTAAAGTAGTTTTTGAGTTGAATCTGATTAGTGATTGATGGCAATGGTTTATTAGATTAAAAATAATCACATACAAATAAGTCCAAATCTATTGTCATGGCTCGTATTGACACATTAAGGTCTTGTAAAGTGAAATGATTGCTCGATGTAAGAAACTGAACATTATTTACAATATAATTAGCTTTAATCCACAGCCTGCTTAAACAGTTCTCTGTGCATGTGTGAATGTAACCCGATTGTAGTCCTGTTGCTTTGATGATGTATAGAGAAATTGTTATAACTTTTCTTTAAAGTCAAGTTTACATACATTATTCTGCCTCTGAAAAAGCTCAGATGATGGTTTTGGAAGTTTCTGATTGGCTAATTGACAACATTTGAGTTAATTGGAGGCACAACTGTAGAATAGTATTGAAGGAAAAGCTCAAACACACTGCTTCCTTATGTGACAACATGGGAAAATCAACAAGCCAGAATCAACAACAAAGCCAGATTACAGTTTGTTAAATTACACTGAGAAAAAGACAAATTTTTGGAGACATGTCCTGTGCTCTGATGGAGCTAAGATTGAACTGTTTGGCCATAATAACCAGTGTTACATTTGGAGGACAAAGGGGAAAGCTGACAAGCCTAGGAACACCATCCCAATTGTGAAGTATGGGGGCGGCAGCATCATGTTGTGGGGCTGTTTTGCTGCAGGAGGGACTGGTCCACTTCACAGCATAGATGGCATCATGAAGAAAGAACATTATGGAGAAATACTGAAGCAACATCTCAGGACATCAGCCAGGAAATTAAAACTTGACCACAAATGGGTCTTCCGAACAGACCATGACCCTAAGCATACTGCCAAATTAGTTCAAATGTGCTTTAAGGACGACCAAGTGAATTTTTTGGAGTGGCCATCACAAAGCCCTGACCTCAATCCTATAGAAAATTTGTGGGCAGAGTTGAAAAAGCTTGTGCGAGCAAGACAGCCTACAAATCTGACTCAGTTACACCAATTCTGTCAGGAGGAATGGGCCAAAATTCCTGCAAACTATTGTAAGAAGCTTGTGGAAGGAGACACAAAACATTTGATCAAAAGCTAAAATAATACCAAGGAAATACCAAGGAAATGTGTGTAAACTTTTGACTGTCTAGAAATTAATAAAAAAATTCTCAAAAAAAAATTCTTTCATTATTCTGGCATTCAGCAAATGTAAATGATTTAGTTAATCCTAACGGACCTAAAATAGTAAACGTTTAGTATGATTTACCATCAGACATTTCTTAATAAATGGGTATGTTCCTTTTTTTAGAGTGTATGCAAACTTCGTATGAGGTTTCTGCAAGTTTCACAAAGTTAAATATATGACTTTTTAAGAATTTTTAAGATGATTATGACTTAAAAACAGGGTGTGAATTATACATTGACGAACAGAGGGGTCAACTTTTTTGATTGTTATTTTGTGTAATACATCCTTCACTCAAATGTTTGCACTTATTTAAATGACATCTATTTTATTAATACAACATATTTAAGTGTTTTGTGGGATATTTTTGTGTATTCTGACCAACAGATTAGCTATTTCAGAGGTTACTGTAGGTCAAACTATACAAACGTGTATCTAAGTTTACTTATAGGCTATATATAGAAACAAACACCTGTTTTATAGGAAAAGTGTCATGTAAACGCTTACCATGTCTATGGGCGTGGACTGATTGAAGCAATTATGGATTCACAATGGTATAATCCGTTATGGAGTGATCAATTGTATATTTATATGATCTATTATTTTAATTAATAATATTAGTATTTAAGACACAGATCAGAGCAAACTATTTCCCACTATTCAGAGGGCTGACCCCCCCATACATGTTGTTTTGACATCCTTCAGGGGGGATCAAGCATCAATTAGGGGGGTCAACCCCCAAACCCCCTTGTAATTCGGACTCAGCTTAAATATATAATTATTATATCATAATTAGTTATTTCTTAGACACATATTTTTAAATAAATTGTCAAAACTAGCAAACCCTAGTTGCATGCACATTTTTTAACAAGACTTATCTTTAAAAAAACTCTTTAAAACTATAATAAACTAAATGTGTGCACATCAGTCTGTCCATGGCAGTGTCCTCACCATATACAGACTATAAATACACAGAGAACTTTTAGACAGATATTATTGTTATGACAATAATTAAATCCTATTTGTAAATAGAGGTATGAAAAGAGTTTTGTTAAAAGTTCTACAGAGGTGGATTGATGGTGATTGGGTTAGCATGGTGGCTCAGTGGTTAGCACTGTTGCCTCACAGCAAGAAAGTCAAGTTCCTGCTGGGCCAGTTGGCGTTTCTGTGTGGAGTTTGCATGTTCTCATGCTCCAAACACATGCACTATAAGTGAATTGGGTAAGCTAAATTGTCCATAGTGTATGAGAATAAGAGTGTATGGTGTTTCCAGTGATGGGTTGCAGCTGGAAGGGCATCCCCTGTGTAAACAAATGCTGGAATAGTTGGCGGTTCATTCTACTGTGGCAACCCCAGATTAATAAAGGGACTAAGCCGGAAAAAAAAAATGAATGAAATTTGCCATAGTGTATGTGTGAATGTGAGTGTATGGGTGTTTCCCAGTACTGGGTTGCAGCTGCAAAGGCATCCGCTGCATAAAACATATGCTGGAATAGTTGGCGGTTCATTCCCTGTGGCGACCCCTGATAAACAAGGGAAGGAAAATGTATGAATAAATGAGTGAATGAATGTCGGTGATTGGATGTGTGTTGGCCTGATTGGGTAGCTTTACCCAAAATTGAGACCTGTTTACAATTATTTAAGACCAAAAAAACTAAATTTCAGTGAATTTAAGACATTTTAAGGCCTCAAATGTATTTTTTAAAGACTTTTTAAAACCCCACGGACTAACTGATTCGCTTCACAAGACCTCAGTGTGTCATCGTGAGCCATGGCTATTGATTTGGAACTCTTTGTATGTGATAAATCTGTAACCATTCACTGCCATTATATCAATCACCAATCGGATTCAGCTGAAAAGTTCTACTGAAGAAAAACTGGTCACCTACATCTTTGACATATTTAACAGGAAATGTTTCGTTTTGGGTGAACTATACCTTTAAGTGAGAAAAGAAAAGATAGAGGTATGAAAACGTGTATAAAACCTTCTGAATCCTTCTTATAAAACACTCCGTGTGGATGGAGAGAATAAGGCCTGCTCGCAAAGTTCTTCATGTGCACCACCATGACATCATCCACTTCAGCACGTAGAATCGGTCCAAGAAAGCCAAGCCAGTCAGGCTTTGATATCTCTGTGTTATAGGAAGCATCTGTATACTGTCTGTACACAGCCTTTTTGTAGACACTCCCTATTCTGGTAGGACCGTTAGACAGGAAAACGGAGGCATGTCTGTTTAAAATAAATAAAAAGAGAAGTTGCTGTTGAAACTAAAGGGAAATACCCTAATTTACCAAGTCAAGTTTACTGTCAGCTATAATTATTCATGTGTATTTATAAAAATGATTTACGCACATATAAGCATTTTTATTCACAAATGAAATAGTTTATGGGTATTATTAGTAGCATAACATTAGTATTGTTAGCTATTATTAATGTGTTCATTTCATAATCACATGCTGAAGTGTTTATGTATGATTTTACACCTATATAATCACTTTTTATTCACAAATAAAACTGTTTATGTGTATTATTAGCAGCATAACAGTCATATTGCTAGCAAATATTACTGTTTGCGTTTCATAACAGTCATATTGCTAGCAATTATTACTGTGTACGTTTCATAACAGTCATATTGCTAGCAATTAATAATGTCTACATTTTATAATCACATGCTAGTGTCTATATAAACGATTTTACTTCCATATAATCACTTTTTATTCACAAATAAAACTGTTTATGTGTATTATTAGCAGCATAACAGTCATATTGCTAGCAATTTTTACTGTGTACGTTTCAAAACAGTCATATTGTTAGCTATTATTAATGTCTACATTTCATAATCACATGCTACTGTTCATATAAACGATTTTACTTCAATATAATCACTTTTTACTCGCAAATAAAAGTGTTTATGTGTATTACTAGTAGCATAACAGTCGTATTAGCATAACAGGTGCATTGTTAGCCATTATTAATGTGTACACTTCATAATCACATGCTAATGTGTTTATATAAATGCTTTTACACCCATATAAACACTTTAATTCACAAATAAAAAGCTTATGGGTATTATTAGTAGCATAATAGCCATATTGTTAGCTATTATTCATGTGTACACTTCGTGTTTATGTGTTTATGCTGGATTTTACACCCCTTTATTCACGAACAAAATAGTTTATGTGTATTATCAGTAGCATATCAGTCGTATTAAATTCTTAAAATGTTAAAACTGAAATTATTTTCAATTACCATTGTTTTACAGTCAGTCAGTAGACTGGGTGTGTCATTTTTTTTTTGTCCTGTAAGTAAATCAACAACTTACTCGTCGGAGTCAATGGTCCGGTTGTTGATGAGGTTTCGCCGGCTGGGTGCGTAATTCCAGTCTTCCTCCCTAATGCCAATGTAATACGTCCTTTCCATACATTCGACCCAATGCAGTGCGACTGCGGCCGTCACCAACACGCACAGCATAAACTTCATGGCTTATAGCTGTGAACGGTCCCAAATACGTTAAATATAACGAGCATAACCAATGTCCGAGCCGAAATCCGTAAGAGCCGCACGCAGCAGACACTGATAAAATGCCTGCGCACTGAGATTCTTCCCTCACCGAGATAAGCTATACGTGACGACAAGCTCTCTAAAAGCGAAAGTGAAAGTTCCATTGGATGACTACAAGATTCCTGCAGGCATTACTGGAAACAGGTTTTGTGAGTAACTCCGCTGGGTTTCTTTCACAGACTGAACACTGAACTCGATGACGCTGAGTGAAACAAGCACGCGCTTATGGCGTCGCTTTTTTGAATAAGCTGCTGGCATTGGTTTGGTTTACATGCTTTGCCTGCTGCCTTGACAGATTTTAAAATACAACACAATCGAAGAATCTACATTAGCTATAAGCCATGCATTTTATAAAGTCTTTAATAGTTTTACTTCATTAGAGATTTGTTTAGACACTTTTATAAAGTTATTAGGCAGTTCATAAGATGGGCTACAAGTTCTTATTCTTTATTTATGAAAAATACTTTGGTGATTTTACTGTAAATGCATTGTGTTTGTGGACCTTACTATGGTAAAGTGAATTGTACAGCCCATATGAAAATAATACTACATTCATTTACTGTACTAAATACCATTTTGTTATGAACTGTACTATGATAACTGAATTGTACTGCCCATATGAAATAAAACACTATAGTAATTTACTGTAAATATGTGTTTTCAAACCTTACTTTACTACAGTGAATTATATTTCTCACACAAAAATACTATAGTAATGTATAGTAAATATTGGTATTTCTGAACCATACTATACTAAAGTGAATTAGACTGCCGACAATAGTAATGTATAGTAAATACCATGATTTTTTGAACCCAACCATAGTAAAGTGTATTATACTGGCCACATTAAACATACTATAGATATTTACAGTAGGAACTATAGTGCTTTTGAACCATATTACAGTAAAGTGTATTATATTGCCCACATGAGAAAATACTATAGTAATTTACAGTAAATAGTATAGTATTTTTCAACCATACAGTAAAATGTTTTATTGCCCACATAAAAAAAATACCACAGTATATTAATTTGCTGTACTAAATACTGTTGTGTTTGTGAACCATACTATGGTAAAGGCAACTATAGACATGAAAAATACTATAGTAATTCACAGTGCTTTTCAAGCATACTATAGTAAAGTGTATCATACTGCCCACATTAAAAATACTATAGTAATTTACTGTAATTGTTTTATGTTTTTGAAACATACTATACTAAAGTGAATAAAATTTTACACACAAAAATACTATAGTAATGTATAGTAATTTTTGAACCATACTATAGTAAAGTGTATTATACTGCACAAATAAAAATACTACAGTATATTAATTTGCTGTACTAAACACTATTGTGTTTCCCAGTGATGGGTTGCAGCTGGAAAGGCATCCGCTGCATAAAACATATGCTGGATAAGTTGTCGCTGTGGTAACAGCACAGTTAGTAAAGTGAATTATATAGCCCACATTAAAAAATACTACTACAGTAATGTAATGTAAATACTAGTGTATTTCAACCATACTGTAGTAAAGAGTATTATAGTGCCCTAATGAGAACACACTACTGTAATTTACAGTAAGTATTTTAGTGTTTCTGAACCATACTACAGTAAAGTGTGCACTGCACACATGAAACAATACTATAATTTACAATAAACACAACAATGTTTTTAAACCACAAGTAAATTATACTACTCACATGAGAAAATACTACAGTAATTTATAATAAATACTACAGTATCTGTGAACCACACTATAGTAAGGTGTATTATACGGCCCACATGAAAAATACTATAGTAATGTATAGTAAATATGAGTGTTTTTGAACAATACTATAGCCAAGTGCGTTATAGTGCCCACATTAAAACATACTACAGTAATTTACAGTAAATACTACAGTGTTTTTCAACCATACTGTAGTAAAGTGAATTTTATAGCCCACATGAAAAAAATACTATAGTAATGCATAGTAAATACTAGTGTATTTCAACCATACTGTAGTAAAGTGTATTATACTGCCCTCATGAGAAAATACAGTTATTTTTTCAGTAAATACTAGTGTTCTTTAACCCTACTATAGTAAAGTGAATTATGTTGCCCACATGAAAAAATACTACATTATATTAATTTGCTGTACTATATACTGTTGTGTTTGTGAATCTTACTATGGTAAAGTGTGTGGGTGAAATAATACTATAGTAATTTACAGTAAATACTTTAGTGCTTTTGAACCATACTATAGTGAAGTGTTTTATATTGCCCACGTGAAATAATACTACAGTAATGTATAGTAAACACTAGTGTATTTCAACCATACTGTAGTAAAGAGTATTATACTGCCCTAATGAGAACACACTACTGTAATTTACAGTAAGTATTTTAGTGTTTCTGAACCATACTACAGTAAAGTGTGCACTGCACACATGAAACAATACTATAATTTACAATAAACACTCCAGTGTTTTTAAACCACAAGTAAATTATACTACTCACATGAGAAAATACTACAGTAATTTATAGTAAATACTACAGTATCTGTGAACCACACTATAGTAAGGTGTATTATACGGCCCACATGAAAAATACTATAGTAATGTATAGTAAATACTAGTGTATTTCAACCAGTGAATTATGTTGCCCACATGAAAAAATACTACATTATATTAATTTGCTGTACTATATACTGTTGTGTTTGTGAATCTTACTATGGTAAAGTGTGTGGGTGAAATAATACTATAGTAATTTACAGTAAATACTTTAGTGCTTTTGAACCATACTATAGTGAAGTGTTTTATATTGCCCACGTGAAATAATACTACAGTAATGTATAGTAAACACTAGTGTATTTCAACCATACTGTAGTAAAGAGTATTATAGTGCCCTAATGAGAACACACTACTGTAATTTACAATAAGTATTTTAGTGTTTCTGAACCATACTACAGTAAAGTGTGCACTGCACACATGAAACAATACTATAATTTACAATAAACACTCCAGTGTTTTTAAACCAGAAGAAAATTATACTACTCACATGAGAAAATACTACAGTAATTTATAGTAAATACTACAGTATCAGTGAACCACACTATAGTAAGGTGTATTATACGGCCCACATGAAAAATACTATAGTAATGTATAGTAAATATGAGTGTTTTTGAACAATACTATAGCCAAGTGCGTTATAGTGCCCACATTAAAACATACTACAGTAATTTACAGTAAATACTACAGTGTTTTTCAACCATACTGTAGTAAAGTGAATTATATAGCCCACATAAAAAATACTATAGTAATGTATAGTAAATACTAGTGTTTTTCAACAATACTGTAGTAAAGTGTATTATACTGCCCTCATGAGAAAATACAGTTATTTTTTCAGTAAATACTAGTGTTCTTTAACCCTACTATAGTAAAGTGAATTATGTTGCCCACATGAAAATATACTACATTTTATTAATTTGCTAAAATTTATTAATTAGTAAATACTGTTGTGTTTGTAAACCTTACTATGGTAAAGTGCATGGATGAAATAATACTATAGTAATTTACAGTAAGTACTATAGTGCTTTTGAACCATACTATAGTGAAGTGTTTTATATTGCCCACGTGAAATAATACTACAGTAATGTATAGTAAACACTAGTGTATTTCAACCATACTGTAGTAAAGAGTATTATAGTGCCCTAATGAGAACACACTACTGTAATTTACAGTAAGTATTTTAGTGTTTCTGAACCATACTACAGTAAAGTGTGCACTGCACACATGAAACAATACTATAATTTACAATAAACACAACAATGTTTTTAAACCACAAGTAAATTATACTACTCACATGAGAAAATACTACAGTAATTTATAATAAATACTACAGTATCTGTGAACCACACTATAGTAAGGTGTATCATACGGCCCACATGAAAAATACTATAGTAATGTATAGTAAATATGAGTGTTTTTGAACAATACTATAGCCAAGTGCGTTATAGTGCCCACATTAAAACATACTACAGTAATTTACAGTAAATACTACCGTGTTTTTCAACCATACTGTAGTAAAGTGAATTATATAGCCCACATAAAAAATACTATAGTAATGTATAGTAAATACTAGTGTTTTTCAACAATACTGTAGTAAAGTGTATTATACTGCCCTCATGAGAAAATACAGTTATTTTTTCAGTAAATACTAGTGTTCTTTAACCCTACTATAGTAAAGTGAATTATGTTGCCCACATGAAAATATACTACATTTTATTAATTTGCTGTAGTAAATACTGTTGTGTTTGTAAACCTTACTATGGTAAAGTGCATGGGTGAAATAATACTATAGTAATTTACAGTAAGTACTATAGTGCTTTTGAACCATACTATAATAAAGTGTATTATACTGCCCACGTGAAAAAAATACTATAGTAATGTATAGTAAACACTAGTGTATTTCAACCATACTGTAGTAAAGAGTATTATACTGCCCTCATGAGAACACACTATAGTTATTTCTTCAGTACTAGTGTTTTTCAACCACACTTTAGTAAAGTGAATTATGTTGGCCACATGAATAAACACTACATATTAATTTGCTGTGGTAAATACTGTTGTGTTTGTGAACCTTACTATGGTAAAGTGTGTGGGTGAAATAATACTATAGTAATTTACAGTAAGTACTATAGTGCTTTTGAACCATACTATAGTGAAGTGTTTTATACTGCCCACGTAAAAAAAAAAATACTATAGTAATTTACAGCAAAAAGTATAGTGTTCCTGAACATGAAAAAAAAACTATGGTAATTTATAGTAAATATTACTGGGTTTGTGAAGCATACTATAGTAAAGTACTTTAAATAGTTATACTGTTGCTTTGGTAACACAATAATCATAATATAAACATTACCCAATACTATATAAACTCTACAACAGATGATCTATTCACTATAGTAGGTAAAAAAAATGTATAACGTTAATTTATTCATTCATTTTCCAGGGGTTTCCACAGTGGAATGAACCACCAACGATTCCAGCTGCAACCCAGTACTGGGAAACACCCACGCACACTCATTCAGACACATACACTGTGGCCAATTTCGTTTACTGATCCAGCTGGGACATGAACCAGGTTCAAAACACTTTCCTATAAAGTAGTAATTTTTTTTTCAGTAAAACATTTTATTTGCTCTTAATGAATTATGATTACATCTGATACTATTATAAATACTGTAGGCTGCTTTCATTTTTACTATAGTAAAATGTGGTGTAGAATAATAGACCCTATTATGTGTTTGTTTACATAAGTATAGGTGTTGTGTTACATAGCAACTATAGGACTACCACAACACATTACAATTCGTTTGGTTAAAAACAGACTACAGTCTACAGTCTTCAGTATACTATATTTAATTACTATAGTATTTTCATACATATTCATCCAATACTGATTAGTTTTCTTGTGTATTTTCTCAGTACACCAACACAGAGATACTTTAAACACTAAGACAAGAAGAAGATTATGAGGAGAAAAGAGAATGACAGATAGTTAAACAAACATGTAGAAAATATGTTGAAACCTGTGTTTTTTATCAGTAATGTTAACACTGTACTGTTTTGTGTAGCAAAATAATAGTAGCCAAGCTGAAACAATTGCAGTGAGATGGTCAATGTACGAGTGGCCTCTAGTGGTAGAATGCAGATAAGACAGCTGTTATTTCAGTTGTTATTTTCCTCATTAAGGCATTCCATTCACTGACTACTACTCCTGAAGTTTCATCAGTGGAGAAGTTTCGTAAAAAATTGTTTAAAATAAAAAAATACTCTCTAAAAAGTCATTGCGGTTGTTTCTCTGATGTGTATGATCTCTTGAAAGTACTTAACCGACAGTAGGCAAATAAATTAAATATTAAATCTCAAATAAAAAATATTTGACACTGTCAAATACACACACACAAACACAAACACAAACACACACACACACACACACACACACACACACACACACACACACACACACACACACACACACACACACACACGCACACAGAGCAAATGAATGTGCTGTTTAAACAACGTGGCAGAAAATTGGAAAATTAAAGTTGTGTTGGTCTGAAAATAGCAACACGTCAACATGTTTTACAATTAATTAGATCTGAAGAATATCTTGTTTATGGCTAATAGCATTAAATAAATAAACGATTTTCAACATTTGTATTTTTCAAGGGAAATCTTACATTCTACAATCAACAATATCGCCTGCATTTCCAGTATCGCGCAGCTCTAATTGATCTTGCGATACGATCTGATTAGTTTGTTTTATCAAGCACTACACAAGCATAACAAGAAGATTGTTTATTTTTTAAAACAGAAAAAAGCAATAAACACACATTAAGAACATCAGCCGTTCATGTTGACTACACTGTAAACAACATCTCTCAACAGTTTCCGTATTTGGCGATTTACAAGCGTTTTGTATTTATTTCCGGTTGTGAATTGCATTATGGGATGTTGATCTCTGCTCTGCCCTTCTGATAAAAAAAACAGTTTAAACCAGCCTAGGCTGGTTGGCTGGTTTTAGCTGGGCGACCAGGCTGGTTTTAGAGGGGTTTTGGCCACTTCCAGGCTGGTTTCCAGCCATTTCCAGCCTGGTCTTAGCTGGTCAGGCTGGGAGATGACCAGCTAAAACCAGCTTGACCAGCTTAAACCAGGCTGGTCAAGCTGGTTTTAGCTGGGCTCTCAGCCTGGCTAGGCTGGTCAAGCTGATTTTAGCTGGTCATCTCCCAGCCTGACCAGCTAAGACCAGGCTGGAAATGGCTGGAAACCAGCCTGGAAGTGGCCAAAACCCCTCTAAAACCAGCCTGGTCGACCAGCTAAAACCAGCCTAGGCTGGATTAAGCTGGATTTTTCAGCAGGATGTCCACTTTTGATGTTGATAATTCTACTCTACAGTTTAACAAAGTGACTTTTATTGACATTTTTAGTGGTGTGAAATATCTGTTAAATAACAGTAAATGTGCTGGCAGTTTTTATAGTGACTATACAACACCAACCCAGACAATATATCACTTTAAACTATTACAATTGTTAATAAAAGTCCCATTTTACAACTTTTCAAGGTTTAAAATGATTGGAAGAAAAATCAAGCTCCCGTAATGGGGAAACTATCAAATAAAAACATGACAACAAAACAAAAACATACAAAAAAACACTGCCAATTTACAGAGATTTCTAACAGTTCAGAAGGCTGTCGCTAAAAATGGAAGAACAAATAGATAAAAATATTGTAGTTAAATTCTAAAAACTTTATCCTTACACAGTCCACTGCACAAGTATCTCTATATGGACAGTCTTCTGTATTTTCCCTACTAAAAAAACAGCTTAAACCAGCCTAGGCTGGTTTAAGCTGGATTTTTCAGCAGGGTTGTTATTCGTGTTTTTTCCATTTATTTATGTTTTTGAATTCATTGTGAGGCTTTTGACGTTGAAAAGTTGGAAGTCGTGACTTTAATGAACATGTTTAATAGTGTGCAGAGCGACATTCTCTGGGTTGGTGTTGTATATTACACTACAAAACCTTGTAATAAGCTGCAGCACACTTTCTGTTATTGTACAGACTTATTTCTCTAGGTAATATTTCTTATAAATTGTTATTCCAAACAACTAAAATGTCAATAAAAGTCACTTGAATTTTCAACATCAAAAGTGGACAGAGCAGAGATCAACATCCCATAATGCATTTCACAACCGGAAATAAACAGAAAACACTTGAGAATCTCGCATAGTCTTTACAGTGTGCCCAATAAGCTTCACCTTCCCATAGACACCAGCAGGTGGAGCAGTCGCACCTTTATTGAGATCAAAATTACAAAAAGCAAACGCGAAATCCGCATCTTCATCCGTCTGACAGTTGTGGTCAGGATACGGGACTACCCATGAGCCTCTCCTGACGTAGAGAGATCAGTCTGTTCAACCACAACCTCTCAGCCTCCTCTTTATCCACAAACAG